CTAGCGCAGCTTGGCATGGGCGGTAACTCCCCTCTACCAGTGGCAACGGCAGCGCACCCCTAGCGCCGAGCAAGCTGCGCGTTGCTCGCTGCGCCGTGGACAGTAAAAAGCCAAGAGTCGTGCCGGGGAGCAAAAAAGTGGCGAGACGACGCGACGCCAACTACGCCCTTGCTGCTGTCGATGTAGGTATATATAGTTGGCTACATTCGCGGCTGTGAAAAAAAAATAATACACATCGCCTAAGCGCCGTTGTTACTTTGTTTCTTTGATTTAGAGCTACTGACCGTGAATCGGTCGCGCAGCTGTGCAGTGCGAACTTTGCGCGCACATTTACTCGGAAAAATACTTCTTAATACCTCGTTTGATATATGTGCACGACGTGCACGTCGCGCGGAAATCTTCCGTGGATTCTCTTTCTCTCTGTCGTCATTTCGATTTGTCCTTGTGAAAAAGTTCATGTAAGCTGATTGTTTATCCTAGGAAATAAGTTGAATTGCGCGCGGAAGAAATGTTACAGTATTGTGCTTTAGTAACAGCCAATTGATGTTGGCTTAATTGCAATTTTCAAGGAAAGAAGCTACAAATCTGCAAGGTGCTGCTCAATTCGGCAATGGAATCGCAACAAAATACGATAATAAACTTGGCGTGCAAATGCCAGTAATATATGAAATTCGGTCTGTAATGCCTCTCGCGCACATACGATCGTCGTCATTCTCGTGCTCGTTCAAGTCAGGACCGCTAGATGCGCATCGTGCGCGCGCTTAATTTCCTCGTCTCGTGTATGCACGCGCGCACGCGGCTGTTATTCCCAAGCGGTCGCCACGGCTACGTGGCTTGCTATGGCAAGACGTAGCATTTCGGCGGGTATGTGCATGCCTCGTGCAGCACGCGCCAATTGCAAATGCCGTCGCTGCGCCGCGCACTGCTGGTGTCGAGTAGCAATATCTCGGCCAGACCGCCGACTCTCCCCGTCGGAATGCTTTGAACTCTGCCAGCCATCCCTGCTGTATAACGCTTTGTGTCCACCTGCTACCGTGCCAGCCCACAATTGTTGTCCTCCTATAGCCAAATTTTCCTAAATTATATTTCAACGCTGACATTACGTCCCACCTGGCTTTTATTGCGATTCGCCGTTATTACTATTTCTACGGCTGTTCTGCACTCCGCCGATGGCGTTCTCAGTTATTTCGCGTTTATCGCCCCGACTCCGATAGTTTTTCATCGCTTCAGACTTTCAAGTGGACTCTCGCTCGAAGCCTGCCTGGAAATCCGGAACCTAATAGCATTATATTATATCTAAAGAGCTCTGCAGTATTATATTTCCAATAAATAGATATCTATATAACTAACTATTGCACAAAAGCATTTTTTTTCAGCATTGGTTTCCTAAAATGGTAAAAACTCTATGACATTCAGGTGTAAAAATAAAAAAATCTTTAGCAATTGAGGTGTATCATTGTGAAACCAGTCACTTTAGAACATCGTCAAGATATATGCGTATTAAATTCTGCAATAACAATATAAAATAGCAGATAGTTCGACAAACAATAGTATTGTATGTTAATTATTTATCCACGGCCGTGTGTAAATGTTCGTCATATCAAAAAACGTAGCATCAATAATTTCAATTGGAGAAACAAGCCTGAAGACCAAACGAATGAATAGAGCGACGACATTTTTTAAATATTACATTAGATTCGCAAGCTTATATGGCAGCGCGTGACGCGACCCTAAATATCGAGCATTTGCCCGCGCGACTGTCGGTAAATAATTCAGAAACGTCAGAGGGCGTCAAAAGGAGTCATTGCTCGGCACGGCCTCGTGTCGACAAAAAAAAACACCCTTCGTGCGTTTTTTCGGGAGCGAAAAAATTCGGGAGCGCCAAAGCATGAATGCCGTAAATCGACGGGTTGAGCGTGCAAACAACCCTTGCCAGATCATGCATTATAAGACACTCTTAATCGCGCGAGGTATGAAGCTTCCTCCGACACAAATGTTGCCGTTCAGGGCCACGCGGAAAGCGTCGCTACACGGATAAAGAACTTTGATGGTGCCTTTCGTAAGCGATCTATCACACCGATAACATTCGGCTTTTGCACCAGAAGTGACCAGCGAGATTTCGTCAACTCGAGCTTGTCAAGACCAAAGTTAAGTGACCAAAGTTGAGTGGCTCTTCAGACTGAAGTAGAACCAAACATATGCGTTAAGTTTAATTAATTTAACAAATTTCATAGTTATTTGTCATTTGTTTGTTTTTTCAGATTCTTACGTTAATGATAACTTCTCTATTAAACAAATTTAATTATGAGTGGATCATCTCGTTACGTTACCTATTGAATATGATTTTGTACGAAAAAAATTATTTTAGCAATTGCCGTAAGTACACTATAGTTCTGGACTTGACTTATCTTCAAATGAAAAATAATCCGTGAAAACGAATGGATAAGCAGAAGCCCACGTAAGACAGTCCGATATATATTCAAAGCAGCCAGCCAGCATAGCGGTTACATCAAGAATCGAGAACAGGCAAAAGAAATGGATGCGGTTCGACGACATTAGCATTTGAGTGCGCAAGACTGTTTCGCACTCAACTCGAAGGCAGCTCTCGGAGAAGACTCTTGAGGCAAGGCACTCGGTTTCGTCGTCGTCTTAGATAGTCGTCCCAAAACAACCCCATGATTTCCAGCTTCCACTATTCATGAGGCCGAGAGAGCAAGGGGTTCGTTTTCTTGTCTTGCCGCCCTCGCATGAATTTACAATCTCAACGATACGCAGATTGATGCATCATAGGTTGGCTTTGACGCGACGACGCTCTGATTTTCATTCTTGAAAATATCTTCATCTATGCTACGTCACCGCGTATAGTGAAAAAATTAGTAACCATTCTCCATGTACTGTTTGAAATTTCAAATAAATAAAATTTGAACTGAGTATTGTTGGCATGGTGCAACGATTATTTTAAATAGCGACGTTTATTTGATTTTTAATCCTCAATATTTTGAATTTTGCAATGATAATTATGAAATCCAAGGAATAATGAACAACTTGATTTTCATATCGATAATTTAATTTAATTTTTATAACCATTATCAATGAAAATAAACCAAAATAGCGCAACACAATGTTATTTCTAGAAAGCTGGAAAAATGAAAAAAAAAAGAAAAAAGAAAGATTAATAGCCAAGCTAACACAGGAGTTTGGATGTTATAACTGTGCAGAAAACGCTTCCCACAGTCCATTAAAGAGCAGCATAATCGCGTGAAATCGCAATGACAAATAGAGAAACGGAGGCGTGTATGTGTGCGGGCATAAACAGAGTTTACGAGGGACCCTCGTCTGCGTCTCGTGTATATGTGTGTGTGCCACGTGCTGCTGTCAGTGGCATATTATATTATATAGGAATGACACAGACCGAATAGGTGTGCAGATTACATGCATAAAAGCGAGCCGCTCTCTACACTATTGCCGGGCGACCTTTACGCTCGACGGTTAATAAATATGATAATCGCCCGCGCGCGCGACCGGCTAAGGGGTCTCGCTTGGATATATTACATCAAGCCTACTGAATTAAAAATAATAATGTTACGTGATTCGAGTATTTCAAATTGCAATTATTTGCCAAGCTCCAAATCATTCTGTTTGAATCACTACGAATTTCAGAAAAGTAGGTCAACGACTTTTTATTATTCTCGGTATGTAAAGACGTTTCTTTCGTGAGCCACTTGCAGTTTCAACTGCAGTTTCGAAAGTTTTTGCCAAACGTCAACCAATAGAGAATTACATTTTTTTACATTCATTAAGTGATCATCAGGCCAATTAGACATATTTTTATTGAATATCACTCGAAAATATCGAACCAAGATATCATTATAAAAAATTCGTGACGGAATTATTCTTCATTCGATTCGAAATTTATGTTAATTGCAGAAGAAAAAGAACAGCTTGAAGAACAATGTCACCGATCTACAGGCATAGAGAGAAGAAATCAGAGGCGAGCTTGAAAATCGCAGTGAATAGGGAGTATAAGGATGATCTGCAGTAGCGAAAAAGCAGGGCAATCAATTTTTCAATTACCGCGCGCGACACTCACAATGCGCGATTCGTAATGGTGCGAAGGGCAACGGCGAAATATAGTCGAGGGTCGTGTGGCGCTAGAATGGCGGGGGGAGGGGGGGGGGCAGCAAACGATATAGCGCCTGGCGATGACATATCGCCAGCACCACTCTCTGCGGCTATTTGGTCACTCTCACTCTCGTCTTTCGCCGTTGTCTGTGCGTATATAGAGTGTCTGCGTGGAATCTGTTATTCGTAAGCGCGAACTCGACCCCTTCGCACATCGTTCCCGTCGACGTTCTCGCGGCGTTTTGCCTTGTCTCGGGGCCGCGTCACGGACATTTCTTATTTTCTTGCCGTCGTCTTCCGCTGCCCCCACCGACACGGTCTTTTCCATCGAGCGACGCGCGCCCCCACGGGAACGACTATCACCGACTAAGCGAGCGTTCTCCACTGTCGACAGCCGCGCGTGAAATGCAATGGGAGCTGTCAAACGGGCATCAAACGAAACTGGCTGGAGCGAGCGATCGCCGGTAGCAATTAAAAGGTCGCGACTCAGCTTGCCGGAATAATCCGCGCAGCTTCCGTGATATATTAACGAGCCGCTTACGACCCTACTCTGCGCGCCGGCTAATATGACGGTGCGCGCGCGCTGCACGAGCCGGCTCTGGGATATCGGCTTACCTTAATAAGCTATGGTCGCGATGGGGGTGCGTTACCATGGCCGGCTCCCTTGATGAAACATTCTCTCGACGCTCGCAAGTGCGCACGAGACATTAGCCGATCTGATTGCTGCGCGGGCTTTACCTTCGAATTTCACGGAGCCACGCGTCCCTCGTAGTCTATAGTCTTGATTCGCATTCTCCAACAGATTTGGCCGGGCTGTCGTCGGCTGGAAAGAACGAGGACGCGTGCAGGCGAAATAAAGTCAGCTGCGATTTCGCATAGTAATAAGTGTCGTCGGTTTATTAATATCTCTTTCCATTATTTACAAAACTTTGATAATAATCTCTAATTCCTCGTACGAGACTTGGTCTCTCTCGGCGTCACACGCACGCACACACATTTCCTACTCACTATATAAACCCTCGATCGCGCGCGTACAATTTTTCTTCTGTTAATAATCGTTACACACCTAATGCATCTAGAAATTGAAAGCTAGTGCCTCCCCCCCTCTCTAACACTTCCAATCTGGACTCTCTCCCTATATATATATATAGTGCTACTAATACCTGGTTCACTCGTACAGCGGTTCCTTTCCTACGTAGTCTTATGTACACGTATCAACTGTGACTCTTGTATCACAGCGCAAACCTTGGCGTATAATAATAGCTATACGAAAAAGCCCAATTGTCTTTGTCTGCCCTTGCACATTGGAGTTACAACTCGTGATTTCTGACGTAACACGTATATCTTTACATTTTTTGTCATGGCAATACTATTTCCGGATAGACGAGTAAAAACATTGATTTTTTGTGATACAGCTATAATTCTTGGAGAGATTTCTTATTTCTTGCTGTTAAATGTAATCCTGATACAATTGGCTCTCGTCTATCGAGAAAAGGTATTTTACACAATAAACTTGAATAATAAACAATCAGTGATGGCCAACCGCTTTTTAGTTTTTACAACATACAACTTCGTTGCATCGACACACACACGCGCACGCACACACGCACATACGTCTATGTATACAATATATAATTTGCGAAAACCGAACGAGAAACGATTCGATAGCGCAAGAACGTTTTTTGGGCGCGATCCGCAAAAGGACGGCACAAAGCTCGGATTCGCTCGCTGGACAATTGTACACTTGCTTTTCATGGTATGTACATCGCGCTCGCCGCTCGCGGAAAGAGCGATGTGTATAAGCGGCCGACATCGCTACGTGCCCCGCGCTGCAGTGTCTTAGGGACTTTGCCGCGCTCTCTGCTAAACCTCGCGCACACGCCCGGGTATTCTCGCAAAGGAGCGCGCGATCGCGGGAGAAAGTCGAGTGGACGATATGCGTTGCGCGCGTTTCCCTTAAATTACCATGCACCCAAACGCACACGCGCGCGCACATATTTATACGCATATCCCAATTCGAGCGCACACATTTATTTCAATGTTGTCGGCTTTTTCACTTTTTTTTATCTATTTCTCGCCGCGCACGGGGGAATGAAAATTCGTAATTGTTTTTCGCGACTTTCAAGTATCGCGCGCGCGGATTATATCGACGCACCGCACTCCATTTTTTACCTTTATTTTTTTGGCGATTTTCACTGACCGATACTCGATTTTCGATGCCTACGCATCTCGCTCATTGAGTTTCAATTTTTCGAGTGGGATTTCCATATCGTCATCGCGTGCCTTTTGGTAACTATTCTTTCTTCCGTACTTCACGTGAAAAGGAAATTGAACAATTGCATTTTACACTTTGATTGCTTTATTATTTCAAACTTTGACACGGTAAACTGATGATTTTTAGGAGATTCACGATTTATAAAAGTGAAAAACGCCGATCACTTTTCAATTACTGGTAATTTGTATTTGTTGTATTCAACCTAGATTGTAATATCTATTATTTTGCAATGAATTCTTGTTTGTGCAGCTCGCGCGCGGGAACATATTGTTGAAAGTATTTGTAAGCGTGCAAAAATATTCCATACTGAAACTTTGGCGATCAGAGTCGGCTCAGACAACAACATTTGTACGAAAAAGCAAAGAGAGCAATCGAAGTGATGGTTCCGTGGATGGCAAGTCGCGTGGCGCTCTCGCAACTTTCGAGACATACGAATAATCGGAAAAGTGACGGGCGAAACGGCAAGGCAACAACGACGGTCAAAGCTACACGTAGCGAGCAGACCGCGCGCAAGCGGACACTCGAGCAGTGGCGCAGGTCCTCTTGATCTCACCGGCAGCCGGCGCGTATCACAGTCTTTCGTCCTGCCAACGCAAGCGAGGGGCGCGAGGAGCGGGCCACTCACGGACTGTCGTCGGGGATGGAGTACCAGGGGTCCGCGGCGGCGAGGGCCCAGGGCCCGACCGCGGCCGCCGCGCCGCCCTGGCCGGCGGCCGAGGCGTAGGCCGCAGCGGCGGCGGCCGCGGCCGCGGCGGCGCCCGCCGCGGAGGGCGCGCACTACCAGGCCCGGCCCTGCAGTGGCAGGTAGGCGCCGCACTGGGCCTGCTGCTGCTGCTGCTGCTGCTGCATGGCCGCCTGCACCTGCTGATTGGTGGCCGCGGCCGAGCGCGAGTACGAGCAGTGCTGCAGGCCCTGGCCGCCGGACATCACGTGCGACATGGAGTGGTGGGCCAGGCCGCCGGCACCGTGGTGGCCCGCGTGCGGGTTACCCGCGCCGGCCATGTGCGGCGCCGGGCTGGCTAGCGCGGCCGACGGTCCTCCGCGGGCGCCCTCGCTGCCGCCGCCGGCGCCCGCCCCGCCGGCGCCTCCGCCGCTGCCGCAGGGCTTACCGTCCTTCACCAGCACTGGCACCGCCACTCGTCGCGGCGAGCTCGCGCTCTGAAACACACGCGTCAGTCGTTCGTCAGCTCGTGGTTGCAGCCGGTGCAGCTTGGCCGGCCGTCAGTGCGCACGGTCGCCAAGCAAACAGAGGCTAGGCAGCGCGCACGACACTTCACGATTATTCAAAGGAGAATATATACAGACGGCTACCGCATATTAGCTTCTACAATTTGTCAAGAGAGTTCCGACGGCTACTCGTGTAAAGTCGAAGGATCGACTGCTGTTGCAGTTGCGGGTATCCCTCGCGTTTCCCGTGTCGGCACGGAAGTCCCGTAGTTTTGAAAATTCATAAATAAACGTGAAATGAGCAGGCGCGGAAATAGCCGTGCAGCGCAGCCCCGTGACTCGTGATTTATTCTCCATCGTGCGCGGCACGTAGACGCGCGCGGGCTCTATGATAATTTCGAGCGCTCATGCGCCGGAGCAGAGACGGGAAAAAAGATGCCGAGCGAGTGAACGAACGGGCCAAGTAGTGAGCGCACGCGCGTAGGTTATAACAGAGAGCGATAGGTATGCCAAACAGAAGCTACCTGCCGGCGCATGACGATGGCGACGACGACGACGAGCACTCAGCTGTATCAACAGCCAGTACACGACATTCCTCTTGGGGGAGACGCGGACGAGCGAACGAGAGAGCTGCAGCTCGCGGAGAGAGGAAAAAACGTCCGACCAAAGAGACACCGCAACCTCAAGGCTTTTTGCGAAATTCACGAGTGAAAGTTGGCGCTCGAGTGTCGCGTCAATTTTGTTTTTCAAACTTTTCGACTGGAATAATTTACAACCGACGTTTCGGGTGCATTGCAGCCTGCACACTTGACATTTTATATTTCGCGAACGTAATATTCCCAACTTTTCGGGTCCAATATGTGAAATATATACATGATGAGAGAATATGGCAAAGATCAAACGTATACAATCACCCCGGATTAGTTCACATGAAACGCAGATGAAATGTCATGTATAGCTGTTGAGGCCAAAGGCTCTGATGCAGCTCGCGCGCGCGGGCGCGTGCAGGAAGGAAATAAGCTGCACTTACACACTCGTAAATTAATTCGCCGACTCGGCGTCGAAATTTCGCGGCCGAGTGCGCACTCCATCAGGCTGAGAGAGAGAGAGAGAGAGAGAAAGCTGCCGACGGTGGACGCGTCGAGCGATTTCCGGCGAAAATCCGGAAGAGAGCTTTGCGTGCATGTGTGCTCGCGATGTAGGTGAGCATAAGCGCGCTACCGGACGCAGCATCACTGCCGGCGGATATGCGCTTTGGCGATTCTATGCCTCGCGCCTCTATCGCGAAGCTTCATTGCATTGCGGCGATGAATTACATACGACGCGTGCGTCTGCGTGGCACTATTCTCGACTCGATTCTAATTGCGTTGTTAGAGCACTGCTTCGAATTGCCGCTGCCTGGCACTGTATCTGACGCGTGCTCTTTTCCGACTTCTCTCATATTGAGCAATCGTCTCGCAGTCTCCAAAAGAATGGGCAAACTTTCGATTACTGCCATACGATCAGTTTTACTGACTTTTCAAAAAATTCTCGATCGTTATGTGCGTACAAGAGCCATATAATATGATTGCGGTCGCTGCTGCTGCTGTCGCTCGACTGCTGCAAGAGTGAAATTGAATAGCTTTAGAAAATTCAAGTGGTTTTTAAAATCGGATAGCTATCGAATACAATCACAATGGGCTTTTCTTCTATTTGCCGCGGGCTTTTGCTGCTTTGTCTACGCTAAACTCGGTGAATAAAACCTGCACTACTTGTTCCTATCGTTATAGTATTTTTGCCATTCGATTTTGTAATATTTCACATGGACAGCGAGATATCGAGTCGAGAATGATCTATGGCAAGCTTCGATTGATGAAAATAATAGTACAGCTAGTACAAGAAGAATATACGACAAAGTCATAATATCGTGTATTACGGTAAGCGAGTACAAGTGAAAGCTGCATGCAGAAAGTGGCGTCGACAGTCTGCAGAAGTGGGCGCATCGATCGTTGGAAAAAAAGGTGCACGTGCAAAAGTGAAAAGCTCGACTCGCGCGGCGGGTAGAGAAAGAGAGAGAAAGAGGGTCGCCATCTTGCCAGCACGTACAATCCGCAGAAAGCAAGGCCGAGTCCTTCCTCTTTCTCTCTCTCTTTGGAGAGGCCGTTTCCGTGCTCCCCTTCATCGGAGATTTTTATTTTGCGCTCGCGGAGGGGACGAGGCTGCGTGCGCGGGAGCGAGAAGAGAAAAATCCAAACGATATATAGAGTGCGGTTACGCCGTTTATACCTATAGGTATATATGTATAAGCGGCGTTTTATATATATATATACGTGCCGACCCTCCGTTTCTCGTGGGTATACCTGCCTCTACCCCCTTACTTGCCACCGCAACACGCGCGCTTTCTTCAACTCGTTCGCCCGATATCCTTTTTATTATTTTTGTTTCTTGTTTCTCTTTGCTGAGACATCGTCTCAATTATTTTCTAATACAATCTTTTTTTTCGCCAACTGACGTTGGACATTTGGCCGTTTTTGTTTTTATCTTGAGGCTGGAGCATCACGAGGCGCGAACGAGAGTGCAAATTATCATCTCGAGACTCATAGTTTCCTTCTCCGGCTAACAATGTTCACAAATAAATTAACATTGAAATACTCTCTTGAAGGAAAGCCGCTAAATATCCGCGACGCGTACGGAAAAAAGAAACGTTCTGTACTGCGTCGACATCTATATATAAGACGCCACGATAGCGGTATATTAACGTACTCATGTCAGAATCGCGTGGGCGCTCGTAGAAAAAGAAAGCAAGTAGCAGCGATGCTACCAGAGAGGAAAAGCTGTAAACTTTGAGCGGACGACTGGGCCGTGCAGTGCGCGCGTAAGAGCAATTAAGCCGCGCGTGGAGCGATGTTTCGTTATAAGTAAAGGTATAGCGAAGAGCGTTGCGCGTATATATACGACGACGTGCCTGCGGAAAAAGAAGCCACTCTCGGCGTAGGCAAGTCTTACATTTTACCGCCAGCAGCGCCTCAAGATCACTTTACTCGCGCGCTGCAATTATTTTTCCGCTTTTCTCTCTCTCTCTCTCTCTCTCTCTCTCTCTCTCTGCACCACTTTTTTCCATCTTTACGTCATCCGCTTTCTACCAAGCGACGCTTGACGTACGTAGACCTCGCCGACTTTCTTTGATATACATTTAAGCAGAGCTTGCGTGCTTTTCTTTTTCGTTGAGTAAAGTGGGCGCATCTTGAATCTTCCGCCAGGCTGAGCATCGAATAGCCAAGACGGCATGGCATTTGTTGCAATGAAAAAGCTGAAAATTGCTTTCTAAGTTGATAAATCAGCGAATGTCTAATGAAGTGCACAATAAACAGGAAGCCGGTGAAGCACTGGCAGCGCTCGCGTATAATGCTGCGAAGCGTCCGAGGCGAGGACAGGAGAGAGGAGTGGCGCACGCCCACCGCGAAAACAGCGTATATACAACCGGAAATCCCGAGGGACGCGCGAGCACTAGCAAAAAGCTGTGCACGGTGACGTGCGCGCGATTACCGCGCCTAGTCGATCGGCGATAGGCCGGCAAGCAGATGACACCGCTGGCTTTCGTTTTAGACTTTGGAAAATGGACGGTCCGGCACTACGTGACTAAACGCAGGCGCGGACTTCGGCTTTTTTACGTGAAACGCTGCGACGCACGGCGAATGGCCGTTGAAAAAAGTTTCGTTTCGCGAATAGCTAAACAAACAGCGCACTTGAAAATTCATCCAAAGTTTGTCGAGACGACGATGAAGAAGTATACGCAAACAGAAAAGTTAATTTTCGCCCGTTATCGACCTGCTACTGAAAATTCGTCAGCGGTTGCGCTGATTATTGGCCCCTCGCTCTCCCTCTTATTTGATCGCCTCTCTCTCTCTCTCTCTCTTTCTCTCTCTCGCTCTCTCTTAAAGTTTCGGCATTGTCGCGGGGGTAAGTAAAGCCAAACTAACGAGGGTTGCTAGCTACAGAGGCGGTACACGATATACACAATTCGTATCGAGCGATCGGGCCAACTAGATTGCTTTGAGCTCCATTAAAGTTGCCCATGCGCGCACCTATATAATAATGCCGTGTTTACGTGTAGATACGCGCGGCTCATTGTTCGGCCATTAGTCGATTCGCGCGCCCACTTTTCCGCCCCGAGGCTGCTCTGTGATTCTTATCCCTCTCGTACCCATTCAGCCGCGCATCCTCTCTTCCTTTATTTCGATCTTTTTACCTTCCTTTTTTTATTTTTATTTTCGTTTTTTTTTCTTTTTATATATATTTTTTTTTTTTACTGAACAACTTTACGCTTGTTCAAGCCTCTCGCCGATGCTTATCTCTTTCGTCCTTAAAGAACCGGTATCACACGAAATTGTACTAGCGCAATTTTTTGTTTGGCTCGCTTGTGCAGGGAAGAAAAAAAATAGGCCGGGACGAGTGTGCTTTGCGCATACTGAATGGACTGTGGAATTGAATGGAAACCGCATTCGATTTTACTTTTAAGAGAGGGACGATGCGCGTTGATAGTATAATATAGCCGCAACTTGCGTTCTCGGTTTTTCTTAATAAAATGTTCGTCAAAAGATACGTAGCGTATTTATTCTTCGGGATTTACGATAAAGAAAAACACTTTTGAGTAGATTAAAATGTCGTTGCGTGACTGATGTCATCAAAATAATCAATGTTTTTATATTTAGATTTTATGCGTATTTACAAAAAACTATATAACAAAAAATGCTCACTGAATACAAAAAAAATACAAACGATTTTTTTCTTTCACTTTGTTATAACATTTTTGTAATTTTATAATTGTGAATAAAATGGTTATTTTCTGAGCCATTGAAAAGTTCATTGAAAAGTTCATAGCAAAAAGAAAAAGTACTCATCTCGGGTATGTAAAGCGAAAACTATAAGAAAAAAAAAATTGAACGCGCGCGAAAATTGCTACGCAAAAAAGAGATGATTCATGATCAGCGAAAAAAAACGCAAATTATGCGATTGCACATTTGATGCTCAAGCGAAAAAAAAATAAAGCTTAGAGAGGCGGCGGCATTAGTATTTGAAAAGCGCGTCCCGCTGCGTGATCGCGCATACGTGACGTCTATATAATAATAATGTATTCGCGCTCGACATCTGCGTACAACGCGGTATCACGTCGATCGAAAAACGTCTCTCTCGCTCTCTCTGCATCCTTTTTATGCAAGATTCGCACTTTTTTTGCACACATCTACGTACATATATATCACGCGCGCTGCAGAACTGAGGTTGTGAGCTCCAGCTCTCTTTTTTCTCTCTCTCTCTCTCTTTTTATCGGGTGAGATTACGAGACACGACACGTCTTGCCACAGCGCAGATTATGCGATTTTTTCCCTCTCGGACTAGATAAACAATGTTTTTACCCTGAATTTATCAGCGGGAGTTTTCTTCTTTTAGGCTATATTATTTATAAATACAATTTTTTTAAATACGCAGCTGATTTTTAAAGTCAATAAAATAATATTTTGAATTGAAAGCTTGCATTCAGATTTCAAAGTCTAAACTGATCGTTACGGTATTTGTCAAAGTAAAATATTGAAATATATGTCACCTGATTTTGTGCATTCTGCTCAGCCATAGCTTTCTCCTTAGCTTGTCTTTTGCACTTGTACCGATGATTTTGGAACCAAATCTTGACCTGCAATAAAAATTCCAAATTAGCTTTCAAGATTGTAATCAAATATATTCTTGAAGTAGGTAAAAAATACAAATTTATGGAACATCGCCATGGAAAACATGATGGTCAAAAAAAAAGGAAAACAATAAAAAGTGCGAGTTCGCACAGCGTCTTGTTTGACGCTCGAGGCTGCGCTAGCGCAACGAAGTTATGAAAGAAAACAACCGACGGAGTGATGTGTGTGTATGTGCGTCCGCGCACGAGCGCAGCTAGCAGACCGAGTGTAAAACCGCTTTTACGGCAATTGAACAACGCGATTAGGGAGAGTGAGAGAGAATCGGATGATCGGGGGCATCTGCTTATGACAGCGTGCGCGTTATAATCCCCCGCGGATTACTTCCACTCGAAACTGCACAATACCGTCGCCGCCGTCGCGCCATCGCCGTTGCGTTGCGCGCGGGCACAAAGGCATAACATTACTGGCCAGCAAAAAGCGTATCAAACGGTATAAAGCTGAGACAAAAATCTACGTGGATTAACCGACACTTCAATAATCAAGTAGCTCGAAAATTGTTAGCCCTCACGTTAGTCGGACTTTATGTCTCTTTTTACCGTGTACACGATGCACTTTGATAAAAGAACTATTCTGGTTTATTCGTTTGATATTTGTTTTTCAACTGTACCGGTGCGTTCACATTTTTCAAACGCACAGCATGACGCTTGAATTATTCAAGATCACTTGAGTCATCGCAATTGTTCTGAAAAGCAACAAAATGTTTGAATGCATAGCTTTTTGGAATTCAGAAGTCGAAGCTTCGGGTAGAAGGGGGACGACGATATAGCCACGGTATAGACAAGTCCATGCGCGGCTAAACGAATCAAGTGATACAAATGCATGTCATCAGATGGAGCATCTTACATAATGTATAAACGTCGGCGGCGCGTTGTAGCGCAAAAAGCTTGGGTATACACTGCATACACAACTCGTTTCGAAAAGCCCTTTAAGGTACATTAGAACACATACACATAAAGAGAGACAGATAGAGAGAGAGAGAGAGAGAGACACACACACACACACACACAAGGGGTGGTGGTCGTTCATCGTGCAAAAGTGTACTAAGTTGACCGAGCGAAAGCCTCTTCACTTTGAAGTAGTAATGCAGATTCTTCGAGGGCTCATTAGGCCGCACGAGCGGCAAATAAAAAACGAAAGTCAGAGCGCGCTAAATATCGCGCCCCCTTTTCTCATCGAAACGCGCGTTTTTTTTGAACAACAACAAGCGAGTCGCGGGCAAAGCTCGTGACCTCGGCGAAAAGCGGGTAGCGAACACGAAAGAGAGGCGCGCTACAGCGTCGTCCGCCGGCTACTGCCCATTGTTCGCCATGAGAGTTTTGGAAAGCCCTTTAAGTCCCCTTTACTCCTCTCTTCCACTACTGGAGAAGCTCCAAGTGCCCGTGTGTATATAGTTTATTGTGCAGCCTCTCTTCTGCACTTATGTCAGCTGAGCTATGCAGCGGCAAACTGTGTGTATGCGTGTGCTGAACACGAGAGCGATTCGTTTGTTTGATTCCACGCGTCGGCGGCTCTGCGAGGGATAACCGATTCGACTGTGTGGCAGGTTCATCTGTCAGTACTTTGGCGGAATCAAGCATTCGCGGATTATCGAAGCTTGCTCAATTTTCGTTTCAGTCAGTAGACGTTTGAGCAATCTACCCGTGGCAAGTTCAATCAGTTTCTTTTTACTTTTCTAAAAGTCATGAAAAACATGCTTGCGCTAGTTTCGCCGACGCAAATTAAGCCAATAATGTATCGCGAGAAGAGGCGATCGGTGTGCGACAAAAAGAGACAAAGTCTCGGGGGAGAGACGTAGAAGCGAATGAGACCGACGGAAAGCGAAATGGGGCGTAAGAATGAAGTAGCTAGAAGTGAGCGCAGAGCAACGGTCCAAAGGGAAGAAAAAGATGATACGAAGATAAGGAAGTGAAGTGCACATAATGGTGGCAAACAATGCTTTTACAACGCATGGCAAGCTGTGTATTGGCCGAGCATAATCGAGCGTCCTGCTTCATCTCTCTTCTGTTTCGAGGAGCGCGGTGCTACTACCGCTGCAACAGCAGTAATACAGTGAGAATCAAGTGACCGCATTGTCGATTCGCGAGCTCTCTGATTCTTTTTTTCACGGCCACCCGCTCTTTAGAGCCTTATCTACACTTTCATCAACCTCGTCGACGCCTTCTCCCTTTTTTATTGTTTTCTCGCGCCACTCGTGTAATTGCTCTGTCCTCGAATTTTACGTGGGGTGCGCTCCAAGTGACGTATGCTGTCGTTCAATTTTATGCGAGCTTGCCTAAGTTTGCTTGCGAGCCTTTCGACCGAAGATTGCTATTCAATTTAGAATAAAAGATGTAGTCTGTCGGAATTTGAGCTCGACAATAAGAAATAGATTCTTATATTCTTTTTCTATTTCAAAATTTTTAAAAAAACAATATTTATTTTCAGAATAGCGATATTGCATTTTAAAAGGATAAATAATAATCAATAAAACCGTAAGTTATTCAATGGCCATATAAGCGTCACTGTCAAGTCACGTACACTTTTTTCGCGATCACTTACAGTTCTTCTGTGCATGCTTTGCCATTCTTCGATATGTTTTTATGTTAAAATGTAAGGACCAATAGAAAAATAAAATAACACACATGTATTTCCGCGAGTGAATATCGATTTGATAATGCAGCAATGTATTCAAAAGGAATAGAGCAAAGCGAACGATGGATCAAGATAAACCTCGCATATGTATATAGCATCGGACGTAGGATTTTCGAAGACACGTATACACATGAATTCGCGCGCATTGGATCTTTCCAAATGTTGGCTATTGGGGAGAGTGAGAGCGACAGAGAAACTGTTATTTCAAGAGCCGCAGCCGTCGCTGGCAGAGCAATGCGCTGTGTAAACAGCTTTCCGCAGTTGGACGGGATATAGAATTAAAAAGAGAGAGAGAGAGAGAGAGCGAGAGGGGGGAGGCGTGACCGGGCACAAAAGCCTCGTATATTGATTTTTTCATTCTCAAATCTCGTCTTTTCTCGCCCGCTCAGCTCGTCGTGCAGGCGCAGTGCCCACCTCATCGGATCGTCATCGCACGTGTTGTGCTACTGTCGCTGCGGGAAAACCTCACGCTAGTGGGTCAACCTCGCGTACGTGTTTGACAGCTACCCATTCCACTTACATTGCTCTTAATTTTTCAGTCGTCGATTTATACATCGCGCGGCAAGAAACTTTCGTGTTCTTCCAAATGAATGCGATTGGCAAGTTTTTTCAAAGCAGCTGCACAAACTTGTCACATCGTTGGAAAATATATAATTGCGAATAGAAAGCGACAACGTTGTTTTCTTCGCAAACTCGTCATCATTGAAAAGTGTCTCGAAATTATACATGAGTGTCCAGCAAAAAAATATGAGAAAAAAATCGGAGAGTCACAATATCTATATTTAATCAAGTCGATTGGTGCGTCAGCATTAGTCGATCAAGACAAACATACGGCCAAAGAGCACGCGGACACGAAAAATTCCACGGGTATAAGGCCGAAGCTTCGATTTCAAGTTTGCCAGCGCCAAACAGAGGCGCATACCAATTTTTCCTGCTGGCGCGCGAGCAAACAGCGCACTGGCAGAGGTCAAAGACGAAAGAGGAGAAAGAAAATAAGGGAAGAAAAAAAAGGTGAGCAGGTAAGAACAGCAGGTATTGGTTAGCTGGGCTCTTCGGCGCGACACCGAGCCCACGGCTTAACTTTAATTTCCGCGGCTCTTTGTCCTCCTGTGGGAGAGGTTAATGGCTCGTGAAAAAAGGCTCGCGGGAGCAACCTGTCAGTTTTCCGTTTGTTTCCTAACGAGCCGCTTTTCGCCACCTTTGCGGCGGATTGTCTCGAATTAACTCCGAACCGACCGCGACTTATGCCTGCTCATCCAACCTGATGACTCCGCTTGGTATTTTGAAAATAAATAACCGACCGCTTTTCCGTTTGGAATCCACCTTTCCCTTCTTTTCACTGGCCCACGCGGATTATCCCGTTACAGAGTCATTGTTTTTGCAAGTGGCTAATAGACTTGTCGGTATAATGGCATAACGGCGAACAATACAATTATCAGCAGCGCAAGAGTAAAGTGGACGTGAGAAATGGGAGCCGATTAGACGTAGCTGTCAATTATATAAGGTGCGCGCGAGCAGTGACCGAAAATGGGCAAGCTATCAAAGGCCGATAAATTATAGGGTCGGATGCGTAGCGATCCCGATGATATACTCGGCCGTGCATATATGTCAGCAGCATGCTCGCCGCCTGTGCGAGTATATACACAATCAAAGGACGATAAATTTCGGGTGGTGGGCGAATCTCGATGGGGTGTGAGCTGCTCTATCCAGAGCGAGATCTTTCGGTAAATAAGATCTATTGCGCGATCGAACGAAACGTCCCGATGCCTCGCTTGTCGACATTATATTACAATACTTTCGTTGCGATTGCAACTCCGCAGATGTACGGTTCGTGCAAGGTGCGAAGTTTCGTAGGAAAATGAAGGCTGCGCGGTGCAAATAATTATGGACAGCACGAACGGGCCAGCGAACGAGAGAAGCAGTGCGCCAGTTGTGGAGGCGCGCGCGCGAAAGGAAAACAGTGCGTCTGGCCGGGACGTTGTGGGACACGAGGGGGCGAGGGGCAGGCGCTCGGCCAGCGATTGATCGAGTTAGCCGTAACGTCATTACCCGTGCTCCGGCCAATTCTCCATTATTCCGGCCAGTGACGCGCGCGCGACTCGGAAACTATGGCATTGTGCGGCCCTGCTCTCCATTGCTTGTCGGCCAGACCACCAAAGACATCGGCACGCTAGTGCACGTCCTTTTTCGTGCTCGGACGAGCGTGAGACGCGCGCAGCGACGCCTTTGTTTGCGCTGCTGTCGCTGCTGTTGCTGTTGCGGCATAGCACGCTGCGATCCGCATTTCTCTTCGTCTCGTCTCATTTCCTTTCCCATTCCTCGCATTATTCTTCGTGCTCCGTAGAAACATTTGTTATTCTTTTCGTTCGGTCGCGTCCACGCACTTTCTTAATTGGTGACTCGGAAGACTAATCTTCATTAAACAGAATATCTGACTCTTCACGATATTTGCAGTGATAAGCCGTCAGCCGATATTATACACATTACTTATTCGGTTACCGCGGGTGAATAATTCCGTGGGATTAGCTCTGCGGCTAATCAGAAAGCCATTTACGCGCTTACACACGAGGCCAGCTTGAAACAACACTGGGGACCAACCCCTCGCCTCTCTTTCGCTGTCGATCAACACGCTTCGATTAATAGACTCGTTGCCCTGCGTAATTTTGATTGTCTGCTCGTACTCTATACAGTTGCCTTAGTCAGCTAGTTTTTTCTGTTTTTCTTGTCTCTTCCTTGGTTTTTTCTTCGTTTTGCCAAGCGTTATCAAATGTCGCCAATAATGACGCAAAAGAACAAAGAGACAGAGCTCGATTCGAAGCCCTTGCACTTAACAATTCCACAAATACAGAAATGCAAAGATGATATCACGCATGCACCCCGTACTAACGTGTCGCGCGTAAAAAGACGCGCGACGAGTCGATGCACACCTTTCCGTCGGCGTCGACTGCGCGCGGTATTCACGTGCAATGTATGCACCCTCAGCTGCCTATCTATGTCGTCACGGGCCTTTTTTCCGCGCACAAAGAGAGAAACGCAATTACACCATGCATGTGACGGCGACGTAGGTGACACGTGCGTTGTCAAGGTGTGCCTTTGCGGAGAAAAAGGGGGTAGAGTTCGCACGGGTCAACGCTTAGACGACAAATCATGCCTTTCGAGTGCTGGAGTGTTGGCTCTCCTTTTTTTTGTATTAGTGTATTTGTATGTGGATGAGGTTATCAAGTATTCTTCAATCGCAGCTATTATTTGTATGTTTTATTTCTCTATCACTCTACTGTACAAACGTTATTTTTATTAGTCTTTTTAAACTTCCGGTTTCTTATGCCGCGAAAAATTACTTATCTGGTTAAAAATGCAGAAGGAATCTTGAGAAACGAAAGAATCGAGCAACGGGTAGGAAAACTGGAAGCAAAGTCTAATTGCTGACTGTACACGATGCGAGCTTAGCAAATATCTGGTGCTTCTCTGATTCTATAGTCTTAATCCCGGCGAGTCGTTACCAGACTCACATGCTAATGGAGGTATTCAACGAGTCTTTTCTGTCTGCATCCTGTCGTTTATTTGTATCCGCCCCCCTCTGGGCGCTGCCTGCCTGCCTGTCGTCTCGTTTACCAGTGTACCTCGTATCGTCTTTGCCCCCCTTAGTCTTTTCCCTCTTACGATTTCGCAGCTCTCATTTCTCTCATTGCCATTGTCATCTCACTCTCTCTCTCTCTCTCTCTCTCTTTGCTTCTCCGCAGGCTAGAAAGAATTGTATACTATCTCTATTGAGCTTCGTTTCCTCTTTTAAAATTGGCAAAATGTTAATTCTAAACTTTGCTCATCTTCGAATCCGAGGTCATTCGAAACGAAGAGCAGACACAGATACAGATAATATTTATAAAATTTCTCATCCATTTGGACCCTGAAGAGTCTGTTGGCGCGACCCCATGTAAAAATAACGTTGTGTGCACAGCCACCCTCGCGCTCTCTTGCGTTTATTTAGCCTTGCGTATATGTATAGTATACCTGCGCACAGCAGCGGAAGAGAGTTTCGCGTCTGCAGCTCGACACGAATAAAGATTGAGATTTTAATGTTGTTTGCCCAGAGCTCTTTTCTACGTTTCGCGCGTTCGTGCATTGTGCGAGTGTTACGTAGGGGCTGATGAGATCTCCTGTGTTTTTCACTCTCCGCGTGCTCTTTTAAACGCTGATGCGTCTGTATTATGCCCTATGAAGTCCATAACGCAAGGTTATTACTTGAAGATGCTGCTGTTTCTCGATATCAACTTCTCCTCTTAGTTTGTTTGCTGTTTGCGTATCGTACGAGAGCTTCTTAAAGTCTTTGTACGCGATTGATCCGCGCTAATAAGCGGTTAATGCATAGCGAGAAATCGCGTAAAATAATTCTAAAATAATCATTAAAGTACATGTTTTTAACGTAAAAGCTGCTTCAAAAAAATCGATTCGCGCAGTGGTCACACCGAAATTTCAAATGAGAGCTTGATATAGCTCGCGAGATCAGACTACATAAGCACGGGGTAATTTGCGACGTAGCTGGCGTGTCTTTTCTTTTTTGTTGCGCGTGTGTGCAAGCCTTTCGCGCATCAGCGGAGAGTGGCGATGTAGCAACAATAATGGCGCGCGCGAGCGACAAAGCCGCAATAGGCTACCGTGCTGCCGCCACCACCACTGCCTGCCTGCACTTATGCGCGCGCGCGCACACACCGACAATAACAATGCGCCCCGATAAAATGGACGTGGTTTTATACATCTGTCTGCCGTATCGTCCTGCCTGGTTAAAAGATACACTTTGCGTCCTCATCCTTTTTATGACTGTATGGAAGAAATAAAACAAGCTTTTTGCAATGTCCTGTGCTGTGTTTTTAAGTTGCGTAAAGTTGCGCACGTGAAAAGTGCAGGTGAAAAGAAGAAAAATATCAACGACACCCATTGTCGTACGGCTAAAGGAGAGTCTCGTATAATTTAGCTGCGTCTTGGCAACTTCAGAGTCATCGAGATCTGAAGAATACTCTCGATATTTGCGGCAGGCGTGGCCGCAATGAGATGCGCACTGTATGTTTGCTAGTAACATATAGAGTATCCGGCGAGAGAGAGAGAGAGAGTGAGAGAGCGAGGCTGATCATTAAATTTAGAACACTCTAATGCACTTTGTCCTTTTCCTTTCGCTTTCCGTGCAACGATCGACTGGCGCCAGCAGCAGCAGTAGCAGCTCGAGTGCTACTCCTGTTGAGCGGCCATGGAACACTCGCCCCGCAGAGTACTTACTCTCTCCTTCTTTCTCTCTCTCTCTCTCTCTCTCTCTCTCTCTCTCTCTTTTCTCGCCCTCCAATCTACATGCGAGCGATCCCTTACATCGATGCCTCGTTGATTTTGATTTCGAACCCTTGACCTCCCGAGTGCTCGCGGCTTTTCCCCAGATGTCTATTCATCTGTGCATCCACTTTTGTTTTTTGCCCGCAAGGGTCTCAGTGTGCTCTTGTCAACACTGCGTGGTATTAGCTTTTTGTTTTTTGCAATAACACTGGTAATTCTGAGCTTATTTATTCAAACAGTATTTTTGTTGGAATTTACCGCGCGATCGCGCTCATTTGGAGCCCTCACTTCTCGAAATCACGAATTTCTCCGGAAAAAAAATATTAAAAGAAATCCGACGCATTTTACTTGTTGAAGCTTGCGGTGTATAACAGCGACAACCAACGGCACACTGTGCACGGCAATCTTAATTATTTCCGGGGCTCTAAACGAGACGTAAGAAGAAAGAAAAAAGCCCGACGCGGTCGGGGGGGGGGGGGGATAACGCAGGTCGTATTCTTGCGCAATTTCCACGAGGGATGGGGAGGGGGACGGGCGGGAAAAAGTGGGTAATTCGCCGGCATCGGTTGCCAATACGCTTGCGAACAGCAGCCATTTTGGCGTTCCCTTCCCGCGCGCCGCTCACTCCTTTCACTGCGAGAACTACCCTCTGATTGCAATCAAGCCTCTCTTCTCTCGTGGACTTCCGTGCTCCAGGCAAAATCGATTCGCGTCGCGAACCGCAGACACCGTATAATTGCGCACACGTGCGGCAGAGAGAGAGAGAGAGAGAGAGTAGCCAGAAAACGCCGGGAGCTTATCGACTTCCGCACTCGAGGTTTTCGCAGTCTCCGTCGATGACTTCTGATGTGTGGTATTTCGTGTTCGCGGTTACGGCACTTTTACGCCCTTCGTTGAGTGGCCATTGTTCGGAAGCGACGAATTAATCTGCGCGATCATGTTGATTGCAAATCACGCCTCATTTGGGCCACCCCACGCACGGAAATGACAAACGTTTTTTCCTCGATAGAGCACTTGGTCCGATTGATTGGATATTCATGCGAAACGTACCGATTACGGCTTCAGTATCAAATTTGAAAGTGCAATTCGTATAAATAAAAGCAGGACGTGGTCGCTACCGATGACAGTAACAAGATGATGTAGTTTGGCTCAATTGAGTTGGACAAAAGAGAGATTGCAAGTCGCAGCAGCAGCGCTCCGACTGCCCGAATTGGCGAGTTAAATTTTAGGCCCTGCGTGAGGCCCCGCTATGCGGTTTCGCCTATGAGGCCAATTAGTAAACCGCATTCGTTTGTGTCGCAGGCGGGAGTGTTGCCTTTCGGCTTCTTTGTTCAATCAACATCGAAATGTCAATGATTTAATGTTGCCGTTATACTCGATGGGAAAAGATAACAGATTTCAAACCGCTAAGCAATCGGACGTGCGAAAGAGGTTTGCAACGATAGTCATATTTACCTGTGTGGGCGAAAGATGAATGATGGATGCAAGATGTTCGCGTTCCGGCGCGCTCAGGTACTTCTGCTGCTTGAAGCGCCTCTCGAGCTCGTAGACCTGGGCCTGGGTGAAGAGTACGCGTCGTTTGCGTCGCTGGGCCAGCGGGAATTGCATCGCGCTCACGCCCATGCCCACGCCCACGCCAACGCCGACACCCATGCTCGACGATTTGGCCATGTCGCCCATCGTCTGACCCATTGAGCAGCCTGACATGTTTGTACCCGCTGATGCAGCTGCTCCCATTAGTCGTGATACTGCACATTATAATCATATTTAGCTTTGCCTTCACTTCTGGTGATTATTTTACTGCCTTGCGTCAAGCAATACGCATCTGTAATGTTTAATATCAAGTGACGTCAAAATTTAATGAGAACTTGATTTAATCATCGACAGTTTCTCTTTTCGCATTGAATGGTGTAGTTAATTTTATCAAAAGAAGCATACTGTACGAAGTATATTTATAATGAATTTTTGACAGGACAAAGAGAAACTCGTTCTAACCACTGCCAATTATAACGATTATAGTGATGCGCATCGATCCGTGCAGTATTATACGATATGATAAAAAGAAGTTGATTTTGAAGTAGTTTAGGTGCAGCCCCTCGATAAACGGCTAAACACGATTAAATGCCCGCATGGCATCCATGAAAGGCATATAGCTATAAGGATGGAAGGCCGCATATTATATAGCTCGGATTCGTTATGACGGTGATAACGATCGTCCGGTAGTAAACGAGGCTCTGCACCTGTGCAGTCAAAAGCTCGAGAGACAGAACGAGAGATTCGTTATAATTTGAGGCTGGAATTGATTTGTAAAGTTAGACGCGCGCGCGCGCGAGAGAGAGAAAGAGAGAGAGAGAGAGAGAGACCCTCGTCAGAGACGGACACCTACGTTCCGTGCGAGCGGTAATCGTCGTGCGCACGTAGAAAGCGCCGTGTCATGCTGCTCTCCTCTTCTTTTTCACCTCGTATATTCAGTGCACGGGAGGTCTTTGCTTTACACGCACGAGTGTCTACAAATTTGCTGGCACAATGCTGCTGCCGCCGCGAGCGCGCGTAGAAAGTCGATGGGAATCTCGAGACGAGGCTTACTGCTCTGCTCTCTCGTGATGTTTATATACGCGCCCACGGATTTCCTTGGGAGCTGCCTGTGCATGCTCCCAGGCTTTAACGTCAGCGGGAACAAACCGCCATCCACAGCGTTTAGCCCTGTCACGCCGCGATAATAATATTTTGGTAACTGAGCCCTTTCTTGTAGGCAGACAAGTGCTTTTTATTTTGCACTCCCTTGTAGCTCAATTGATCGCGCCTGTGTCAAGTTGTCAAGTTGTTCACCACGACTGATATTTGGGACTGGATTGACAATCTGTTTTTACCGTAATGATCGGAATAAATGGCCGGATCAGTCCTGGAAAATCATCTTCGACCAAATACGAAGAGAACACTTTTTTTAAAGTTGTATACAGTTCGGATGATATTGCAAATTGTCAATCAAAATGAAGTTACATCAAGTGGTCGGATTGAATCTTATATAATTGAATATCATAACAATGCAATGACATGGTCGTAAGTCGTCCGCGTGATAAAACGACGACAGATCGATTGAGAAGCATTCAGCCGTGTAATTGTGTTCCTCCTTCGAAGAAATTAGAGATTCAAAGCCTCCACGAATGAGCAGGGGAGAAGAAGAAAGACAGAACGAAAGAAAGGGGAAGTGAAGAGCAAATAGAAGAGAGAAAGAAGTCATGAATGACAGGCTTTATATTTTTTGAAGATTCTCAAACGTCATGGCGCGCTGGCGTCGCCCACGTAATGATCGCTCGCGTGAAAACCGGAATTTTTATAACCGACTGACAGCCCGTTCACTCGGGGATGCACCGAATATATCGCGGCCAATAGCGAGCTCGTTAGATACAAACTCGAGTGGCGACGGCCACCCCGCAAGCCTGAGAAACTTGTGCTCGCTGCTCGCGTGCACCTTTAATTGGAGCTTTTGTTTTCGATGACGCGCACGCATCACTCGCCGCCGCAGGAAACACTCCTGAGTCCCTCGAGTACGCCTGGACTTCAGTTTTTTCGTAATACACCTGATTTACGTGTGATCAATCATTATCTTTCATAAACTTCTGTCTGTTGTTTCGCTTTACCTGCCAATACGGATGTATGTCTCAGTTTTTGTCTCTCTCACTTAGTCATATTCGCGTAAGTAATTATAAAAATCAATCTTTACGAGAGGAGGTAGTGCGTAACGCCGGATTACCATCATTTCCAAGTTCAAGTAGTTTGTCGATCCGTTGAATCTCATTTTTCTTTATTTATTGTCCTTTGTCCCGACACATCGTAACCAGAATGAAACGACTTCTTAATTGCAAGACGTTCAAACTTGACGAAGCGACGTGAAAATTAATGCCAATGAATTCAGGATAAAAAGATCGAAACACTTCACGGAGCCGAATTAGCGAATTGAAAGCCAAGAAATTATTCGGTACACATCGTCTGCGCGAAACGGCGCGGCTACTGGTCGGCGGCGTGTATATGGGTACACTTGCGCGCACAAGTCGGCAAATTGGATTCTGCGGCACAAAATTCTCGTCCTGTCTTCTTGTCCGTGTGTACGTATGTGGGCGGAGAGCGAGTCTCCCTTCGGCTCCGAGTATACACACTCGGCTATTTGTTTAACTAAAATCAGCCGGGCAAACGGTCCTCGCGTCTGCTCTTGCCCGTCGTAACAGCAGCTCTATCGATTCGCTTTCACTGCCGGTATACGATATATCTCAACGTAAAAGTTTTATCTTTTCGAGCTACCGAGATTATTGCTTTTTACAGAAGCTTTTATTCGCTATCCCTTTTGCTAGATATTGAATTTTGTACATATGTAGCTCTAGAAAAATCGTATATATACGATAGAAGATACTGTGAGCGGGTTACTCTAGTACTCGTAAATTATCACGTTTTTTACTATAAATAAATTAATCTCTCCACAATCGTCAAAAGTATCATCGTTCTTTGCGAAGAAAATAGAGATCTCGTCATGAATCGCCTCATACTGCCAACTCAACCCTTCCAACGTCGTACAGACACACAAGTGTCCCCCGGCAGTTTCCCCAGGGTAACTATAAATAACGCCGATTGACAGTTGCGTAGGAGGTTGGAAAATCGCGTAGACGAAAGATGATGTGTCGCGCGCGACACATTGCCGCTGTTGACTTTGAAAGTGGAAACCGGCGCAAGTGTACGCATCAAGCCACGAGCGACGGACGTGATCCGTCGGTCGGCGTCAAGATTAACCGACGGAAAGCTTCGCACTAACAGCCAATTTCCAAAGCCGTCGCGGGGACGATTCCGCGTCTTTACTTTTCTTTTCTCGACTGGACGACATTTACTTCCTATTTATTTCTAAGAGTTTTTTTTTTCTTACGTTTCAGCGACTTTGGTTTGTCCCGAGTTGTACAATGTTGACCAATATCGTCGCACGTGATTTTCAAGTGGCGTACTTTTCGTAGTAATGATTGCCAAGGTTTGCGCGGAATTCGCAAGGGAGAAAAACGATCGCGATGAAACATTTAAAAATAATGAAGCAAATATGGAAGTTAGGAGTCGTCCAGATGATGTAGCAATATTAAAAGTCCATACTCGAATAACAGTCAATTAAATAGCAATCGATTAATCACGCATAGCCGCGCGCACGCACGTCAAGCCTGTCACTGCTGTCATCCTACATATCGAGGAAAACTCGTTGCCAATCGAGCACGCGTGAAATTCTATATATGCTCTACAAATACACTATAAGCGTCGAACACACCGGTATATAAAGCCTCGTTACGGCTTATTTATCTTTCGCAAGCTCGCCGTCGGCTTTCGCTGGCAGCTGCTGTCCATCGAAAAATGCTGTCCGCTTTTCCGCTTCCAATACTATAATAATACACTCCGATATCCGATATAGTGCGCTGCGGGATTATTGCGGATTTCATCGCGAGTATGAATTCCGTTAACTTTCACGAACACAATATCTCTAATATTTGGCAAAGCGGAGCACATCCGCTTTTGATCGAGTGAATTCTACTCGAAATTCGATCGAATGAATAACTTTGAAAGTGGAGTTGCGCGGCAAATTATCCGAATAGTTTTGGGCGCCGCTCCGTGGAGAGCAGCCACGAGCATCCCCGAGCGGCGTAAGCCGAGAATCCAAGAATTCGGTGAATTCAAGGTGCGCGTCGTCGACACGCACGCGAGCCCAGGGCGTTACACACTCCCGCGAATTATCTCGTCGATACCGCGGACGGAAGAAAGAGCCAAACTCACTTGCGAATCGTGGATCGTTTGTGGTCGGCGGTGCGGGCGCGTACCAAGGGTGATGGTGCGAGGACACGGCATGCGACCTCATGGGATCGGCTGCACTAGCACCACCCGTCATGCCGGCACCCGCGTGGTGATAAGGCGACAGCTCGGCCGCGCAGTACTGATACTGGGGCGTGAGCTGCATGGTCGCGTACGGGTTCGCCATGGCACCCATCGCGTTGCCACCGCCACCCACGAGGCCCGAGTTGCCGTTGCCGTTGTTGTTGTTGTTATTGTTGGGCCCCGGCGTGCTGACCCCCGGCGTGGAGCCGCCGTGCAGAGGCGGGCTGCCGCTGCTCGCGCTCGAGCTGCCGCGGTTGCCGTTGTTGCCAGCTGCGGCGGCGCAGGCGTTGCCGTACGGCGAGCCCTGGGCCACGGCGGCGGCGGCGGCGACGAGCTCGAGCTTGCGGTACGACTCCTCGATGGGCGAGAGGATGTCGGTGACGCTGAAGGGGGTGGTGTGCGCGCCGGCCGAGTGGGCCGAGTGCTGGTGCTTCGGGGACAGGCTCATCGCCAGGTCGTTGAGGCCGTTGAGCTCCGGCAGCAGACCTGCCTGCTCCAGCTCGGTCTGCTGCTGCTGCTGCTGCTGTTGCTGCTGCTGCTGCTGATGGTGGTAGGAGGCCGCATTGCTGTTGGACTGCTGCTGCTGGCTGGTCGCGTTGGCCTGCTGCTGGCTGCCGCCACTCATGTCGCTGGCGAAGACCTCGACGCCCCTGCCGTCGAAGTAGCGCAGATACGAACCGCAAAGAATTTTGGTGGCTGCCGTTTACACTGCTGCAATCGTCGTCACTGGCGCAGCCCTCCGGGCCGTGGGCATGCGTTGGGTCACTGATTTGCTCGGCGCGGACACTCGCGGACGCCCATCGGTGCGTCGATTCGACTCACGGCAGCGCGTGGCCGGCGCGGCGGCCCGCCGGCCGACTGCACTCCGCGCCTAGGCAGTCCAGGGTACGGCGCTTAGTCGATCTCGAGTCGACTCGCGGTCTCTGTCTGTCTCTGTCTGGGTGAGAGAGCGGGCGGCAGTCCTCGCGCGCGCCACTCGCCCGGACGAGAGAGAGAGAGAGAGAACTGGATGGAGAGCTGCTCGTGGAGAGCAGCAGCGATGTATATCGCGCGCGGCGCGGCGCGGGCGAGTGGCCACTCGACGACTGTCTCGCTCTCTCGAGGCGCCGCTCTCCCGTTCGCCCGAGAGGATGAACCGACTCGCGAGCCTTCCAAGGGTTGTTTTCTCTTCCGCTCGCGCGCGCTCTCTCTCTCTCTCTCTCTCTCGCTTGCTCGCTCGCTCGCTCGCTCGCTCGCGCGCACACACAGGCTCATTCGCGCTCTCTCCCATATACACTCGAGCCTCCTTGCTCTGCTCGCAGCTCGCTCCCTGCACGCAGCGGCGCGGCTGGCGCAGCTCTATGGATGAATGAATGGAGAGTACTGTTGGGGCTCTCCTGGAGAGCTCCTCTCACGGCCGCTTAGATCCACTCGAGCGGCCCGCCGCCGCTCTCGCCCGTCCGACCTGTCCGCCAGCTACCTCCGCCGGCTGCCCCCACTCCGTCTCGGCGCCCCCAGGCCGCGAGCTGCCTGCCGGGGCTCGTCCAATCCCGCGAGCCGCGGACGCTCATTGGTCCGCGACGCGGCTCTGTGCCCGGCCAATCGCCAACTCGACGGCGCCATCACTGTTGCCGCCACCCCCCGCCCTGCGGCCGTATGCCTATCTCTTTGTTGCTTGCGCGACTCCCTTGCTGGTTCGACCGCGGAAGGGTGCCCCGGGAGAAGCGCCGACGAGACCGACTCGGCGCAGTCACCGCGCACGCGGTTATTCGTTCTGTACGTGGCTTACAGCCGGCGCTGCTAGTGATCACTTTCCAACTTTTCGAATTCCGATAAGAATTGATCATTTCCCGTTCTGACGTTACCGGCTAATATGGCGCATACATGGCGATAAAATTCCAATTTCAACTTTGGTTTGCCTTTAATGATAAAAATATGAAACGAGACGCTATTCCCGCAAAATCAATTTCTACTATTACACCATTTCCTCGGCCCCCAAGATCCCCTTACTTCAAATTATTAATGATCTCCAGTCGTTTGTTGAATATCCGTTTGCTAAAGATAGAAATTAATTTTTATTAATTTCAACGTCAAACTAAACTATGTTAGTCTATCATCAAATCGCCCCATACCTCGAGTATAACGTTTTAGTGCTTGGATTTTTCCAAGTTATATAAACTTTTTCACTGTCTGATTGACTTGTAAATAAATAATAACTATCAATTCTTACAAAATAATGAAATCGTAAAATTATTGAATCAATTTAATAAAATATGATTGTTATTCTATAATTTTCCATATTTGCAATTTACTTATTTTCATGCATTTCAATACAACGGCAATATTTCGGTGTAAATTTAACAAAAGTACTTGTAATATAATTTTATCAATTTACGGTTATTAATTATTTTATATATAATTAATGAATAAAATAATTGAGTATTGATGAAATATTATCACAATGATGTGCACATGATTTCTTTCAACCTCGACATTTCTTTATTGTTAAAATAAAAATTTAGATCGTTTAGGATTCGGTAGTACTAATTATTCATGACACCATGGAATGTATCAGTTAGTATCTTTAAAAGAAATTAAAAAACTCAGCGTAAAAATCTATATTTACATAAATAAAACCGATATTGTAATAAAATAATCCTGATAAAAGTTTAAGATAAAATAGTTCAAATACAATTATTTAACATTATTTGATGACAAAAAATATAAATGTTTACCTGATAAAGTAAGCTTCGAAATTCCAAAAATGTAAATCTCCCTATAATTTTTGTAAGAAATTTATTGTAGAGGAAATGAAAACGATCCTGCATTGTATACAAAATTCACGTATGAGTTTAAGATACGGTGTTATGGGAAGAAATTCGTAATTATAGATACATTACTACTAATCTGGGGATACGAAATTTTTTTAAAAAAGGATCGTCTTCATCTTAATCTTTTTGCAATTACACGCAAAGTTCATATTTCAGTCAATTCAATAATAAGACGGAACCAACTCTCTAGCATAAAAAAATCATGTTATGTGAAAACATCCATTCTAATAATTTTATTATATTAAAAGCAAGCTATAGACGGAATCTGAATCTTTCCCGAAGTTGAAAATAATTTGCTTAATCTTAAAGCTAGAAACTTTGTAACTTTTGGTCCATTGAAATACATATTCAACAAATGTGAGGCTTCTTTGCATATACATTATAAATATAGGGCAAAAGGGATGCTATCTGCATTCCGTGGTCTTTCTATACACTCCCACGTTCCCCATATACTCATATATGATATGACCCCATATATGATAAAGTATCTATAGTTTTAATTTTCTCTATTTTTTTATGTCTTTGACATATTTTCATGATTTTTAAATTGTTTGTTACTGACTGACAGAATCTTTATGTAATACTTTATTTATTGAATTTGTAATTATCTTGTGATAGGTCCTTGGCGAACGTATTTTTAGTTTTATCTCAGGGTAAATAAAGTATCTATCGATATATCTCTTTCTCTCTCCATGTTTGAAGATAGCTTACTCTTACGTCGGGTGTGCGCTGTCTTTAATTATTAATATTATTATAAATAATTAGTAGAGAAGAGAGGATCATAATGAGTTAAATTCAATTTATTGTAAAATTTATAAATTCAGTTGACATTTGTGTAACACATACACACGCGCGCGTGCACACACCCATAAACTATAATTATTCTATAAAAACTAATATTTCTTTGAATATATATATATACACTGCCCGTCAATCTTTTTTGCCATGCTTACCTCAAAATTAGGCAAACTTGAAAGTTTTGTATCTCGGTCGGAAATCATCGTATCACAAAAAACGACAAGGCATTTTAAAGGTAATTGCAAAAGCTTCCATTTAAGACGTGCAGAGACTTAAAAATGAAAATATGTGTTTTTTACAGTAAAAAAACTGATTAAAAAAATTTCAATTTTTTTAACCTCGACTTAAATCAATGCCAATTTAGAACCAGGCGGTGGAGGGCAAATCGACCTGAGGGGTTCGGAGGGTAATGTCTTTCCCTTTAAAATGAGCTACCGCGGGGTTCTATCCGATGTTTTTTAACCGAGTTACGGCGTTTTTTGTAAAAAGCAACCTTTTTTCCAATCCTCAATTACTTCGACTTGCGTACGTTTTGGAAAAAAATGCCAAAGAGAAAAAAGTTTCATTTTGTGTCTAAGAATACGAAAATAAAGTCAAAATAAAGAAATAGAGAAAAAAATTTTTTTTCGGTTTTTTAGCGCATTAAAAAAATAAAGGAATTTAACTTTTTTTTACGCTTAGTTTTAAAATGTCTTTTAATTTTTGTGATTTACTACGCCCCTAGACATTTTAAAATGCCCTGCGGTTTTTTGTGATACGATAATTTCCGACCGAGATACAAAACTTTCAAGTTTGCCTAATTTTGAGGTAAGCATGGCAAAAGTGATTGACGGGCAGTGTATATATATATATATATATATATATATATATATATATATATATATATATATAATGAATTTTATAAAGAAACTCTTATAAAAGTAAAAAAGGAATAAATATTGATTATGAAGAAATCAAGTTCGATTCTAAAGGGATGCGTCTGAAGTTTGTAACGTCATTCGATAACGAAAAACTTAAAAAAATAAAAATGATTGAATAGTTGTTTTGATTGCTTATAATGGATAATATAGCGATAAACATAAAGGTAAAGAGTCGTATTTATAAAATTACCCTTTAAAACTACTTTTACATATTGTAATTCACTTTACATATCAGGCTATACCAACGCGGGATAACATTGATTGTACATTTTATTAGTAAAATTTTATTTTTTTAATATATTCGAACGAAGAATAATTTTTCTTGTATATGATGTTAATACCTACTTTGTATATTTATTATTACTAGTATTGTCTAGCGCGCTTCGCGCGCTCACCTCTCGTTTGTATTAATATTCAATTTCATGCATCAATAAAATCAAAACTATTATAAAATACACTAAGATAAAATAGTTAAATGCTTTGATATGTTTAACATCCGTCGATATTAATTAGAAAATAAAAATCCAATTACGTTGATATTCGCTATTAATACATGTACTTACACATACATATACTGTCACATGATGGTAACCCGAGTGACTACCTCTCTACCAATCAGATCACGAATAAATTACGTTTCCTTGGCAGACCATCACTTTTTTGCAAAAGATTTTTTATAAAGGAATTTTATATTTTACATTTAAATATAGCTTAATAAAATTTTATGTATTTTTGTACCCATTCTCCGAATAAGACTACATGGCCTTCTAGAGGCGATCTCGCAACGAATTTTTTATTGGTAAATAGATAAATAAATCATTATGTAGATTTGAAGCTTCATAAAAAGAAAAAATAATAGGCTTATAATATGAAAAACAGTAAAGGTGAAAAAAGGTGAAAGTGTAAAAAGGTGAAACATACATTCCTTTATTTCTTGGTCGTATAATTTTAATTTTTTTAATTACTTCCTTATTAATATTAAAATTTATAAAAACATAGAAATAATGTTTATTATTTGTGTGTACTGTCCGGTTCGAATAAACGTAAATAAACAATTATTCACGATTAAACTGGTGTGGTTGACCAAACGTGGCTTTGCCAGTACTGAGCTTGGGATTTTCACCGAAAGTCTCTACAAAATGAAATAATAATTGTTATAAATTTTTTATATTATGGAATTGCAAGTATATTACGTATCATACGTATATTAATAATGTGACAAGGCTGATAGCGATGTTCGCTAGCCCTGTGCGCGGCACTCTCCTCGCACGGATGTGGCGGCCGACGGAGAAGACGGCGCAAGGAAGAGCGAGGGAGAGGGCGAGAGAGCGAGAAGGACAAGCGAGAGTGCGGAAAGCGCGGCTCGTGCCACAAAAAGAGGGGAAGAAAAGAGAGTTAATCGAGCAAGCGTGAACAGGCAGTTGAGTAGAGGTGACCCGCTAATCAGGTCACGATCAGATCCACCGTGCACCGAGTAAAACCGAGATAAGGATTGGGTTTCCTGTTTCGGCTGCTTCGTGCAGCCTCTTCAGCTATCACCATTCGGTGAACAAGAAGCAGGACACGGCCACCAGCAGCCAGCAGACCGCCGCCGGTGATCCAGCGAGCCCCACTTCCAGCAGGGCTGCGTTTCCGCAGACTGCGGCTCTCCACTAGCGAGCCGCGGGCGGAGTTACTCGGTGGGTCCTATACAAGTATTTATTTCGCGGACTCTCTCTCACGCACCAGCTCTCGCCCAGCGCAACGCCGCGATCTGATTTGTCGCGTTTACCTAGTTGAGCAAATACGCTCCTAGATATTGTTAACTCGTCGCATATATTTAGTTGACGAATACGCTTCTAACCGCCGCCTATTGTCTCTCCATGGTTAGAGCGTGTGCGCTCACCGTCTTGGTTGTATAAAAAGTTGCGTGTGTTATTTTATTGGCGTAAATAAAGGGATCGCCTTTTGTACTTATATTGACTTATTCCCTTCACCTTTCCTGTCATCACGGTAGATTCCCGCCCGTGGGAGTTCACGCCGGCTTCCTTTACCGAAATAGAGCCCATATAGTAACTAGCAGGGGCGCAGCATTGGCGTAATAAGTTGCGATCATAGGAATTTTCCTTCCCCTTTGCAATAATAATAAATTTTTTGTATTAAACTACTATACAAAAATTCAATTAATCAATCATTATTTTACAGATGTACCCTATGACAGCAATGCAGCTCGAATAAGAAATAATTCCAATAATATGGCACAATTATTATGGGCGTTGGTAAAACAGGGGTCTGCACACACACAACCACGTAATCATCAGGGTGGAACAACGATGATGACGATAAAGATGATTTAATTCATTTGTAAATAAATGAATCAAAAGGTATGAATAAAAGTGAAATAATTTTATGATGATTTGATTGATACTAAAACTATTTTATCTGTTGTAGTGGATTTTATATAAGGGCTAATAAGCAGTTAAGAAACATAAGTTTTCCAGACAACTTTGGCGTACTTTTCTAAAAAAACAAATGCCATTGTTAATATTATTACTTATATTATGTATAAGAAGTATAAATATTATTACCATCATACTTTGTACTATAATTTCAAGTAGTTTGAATGTTTCTTCAAGACCTTCTGTGTTTTCTTCAATTTTGTAAAAACTAAGAGTGATTGCACAATTTTTTGAGAGAAGGAAAGTAGCCAAAGCCGATAAAATTCCTCCTTTTTTATTATCGCTATCCTTGTCTGAATAATTGGAAATTCAATAAAAAAAATTTTTAAACTTAAAAAATAAAATTTTTAATTGTTCAAAGAAACCAAGATAGCATGCAAAACTATTGAAGAACAAGTTGGAGTATAATACAAAAATTTTATGATTACCATGCCTACTCTCCTACAGAAGTTTACCTTTCTTAAAAGGTGTAGGGGCGGGGTAAATAATAATTTATATATAATTATAGTAAGTTCTGTAAAAATTATACTACTTTCTTATTTTTTTTATTATAGGAGGGAAACGAGCTGGCAGAATAGTAAAGAGGCGCAATGAGGAAATGAAGAAGGAAAAAGAAATAAAAGTATTGATATATCAGCAGACGCTCGAAGACTATAAAACGTACATGAACAAATTCAATTATATTATAGATTCTCGATAACCCGATCATGATTTTCAAAAATGCAGCGCTCATATGTCACAAAGTTCTGTAAGAATTTCCTCGCCTCGGGAGAGACAGCTTAATATGAACAGCGAATACGGTGTCTCGAATTCGCTTCTGTTTGTCGTCATGGTTGGGACTCAAAATTGCTCGACAGCCACAAGGCGAGGTCGACGAAAGTACGGGAAGAAAGCACTGACTCTCGCAACCCAAACCCAACCCTGAGTCTCGCGCACTTACAGTGCCTCGCCGATTAATAAGTAAAGTTTCACAAACTGCAGAAATTTTTTACGTGACCGTGTATTCTCACATTATCCACTAGATGTAAAATACCGTAAATGTCATATATATCTTGCCCCGTACAGTTTTTCAAAACTCGCACCCAAATTTTTCATCAAAGATTCGGCGTAACTCAACCAGTTATTATCGTGACATAAATTACTAGTATTACATGTACATAGTTACATGTAGCATTAAAATTTATGTAAATAGTACAGTGTTAAAGCAGTAGAAATCATACTGCAATGGTTAGTACGACTGCTATATAATTGAATTGTGAACTTAAAACATCATTGCTTATCGTGTTATTCGTCATTTATTGACGAAAAACCAACGTTTAGGTACGCTTTCTCAGTATACTTAGCCAGCAGTTACCGGCGATCTATCGGTGACCATCGGCGACCGATCGGCGACCAATCGGTAACCATATTTCGTCGCTGACTGTTTGCCAGGGCGTTATTGACTACAGTTTTTGCTGTATTCCAAGTAATATATCACTTTTTTTGCCAAGATTAACATCTTACAAAGACGCGCTCTTAGATTTGTTTCAGGATTGAGAAATTCGATCCCTAACAGAATCGTTTATGTGGATCGACCCGCATGCTTCTATTTTTTCATCAGATTACACAGGCCTACATTTCTCAGATCCAGAAACCTTAGCAGGTATTTCCGAAGGGATTTGGGGCACTAAATTCGAATCTCAGCTCAAAATTGCTCGATTACTCTCAATTTTCGAAACATCCTAATCTATACAGGTCCAAACATTTTTTTTTATATTTTCGAACCCTCGTAACTTTGTGAACAAATTTTTTTTGTTAATTTGATGACAGTATCTTAAAAAACAACTCTTGCCTTTTAAAAAATATTTGTCATTTTTTTAATATTATTTTTTTCGACAGAGATATAATACATTGAAGTATAATAAATTTGAAGCTTCACAAACGTTATTTAAGCAGAGAAAAGTTTCGCTGAAAAATAAAATAATATCCCAAGTACCTTAACCTAAGATCCCTATACCTTGCAATAGCCCCCGACTGTTAAACCCCAAGTACCTTCATCCAAAATCCTTGTACTCCGCTAAACAATAATTCCAGACCACTAGTAAAACTCAATTTCTTTAACTCACAGACGCTGTATCTTTTACCACTATTATCTTTCAGTGAAATTTTTCTTTGTTTAAACGACATTTGCGAAGTTGCAAATTTATCATACGTGAATGTATTATATCTCTGTCGGAAAAAAATGACATTGAAAACAATGAGGAGTACATTTTGAAGGGCAAGAGTTGCTCTTTGAGATGTCGTCATCAAATTTGTAAAAAAAATTTGTTCACAAAGTTATTCGGATTCAGATTCAGCAAACCAAATTTTTTCGAAAACACCTTGTCTGGTCTCTGGGTCTGGACTTTTTTCAAATTTTGATGGCCTGTGTTATCCTTACAGTCTCTCTCAGTACGCTCCTTTGCCTTTTACGCGAATAATCAATAATCCATTCTTCATATATTACAATTTTCATAATTAAATCTAGACTCTTAGAAACTCTTGAAAATAATCAAGAACTGTTATTTACCAAGTCACAAAAATATCCCAGGCAATGAAACTGTAAACGATTTAGTTAAACAAGAGCTTGTAGTTCTGGAATCTTTTCATCATTTCTTTTACCCCATTCAGACTTCTTATAATTCGTCAACGATCTTTACAAAGATAAATTCAATAAATTTCTTCAAAACATTGGCTCAAACAAAGGAATTTCCTATTTTTTTACTCCGTCCCTCTAATCTTGATTTCATAAAACTTCATTACGCGGAACACAAATTGTAACAGTTATGCGCATGAGAAACAATATCACTATAGTCTAGCTTATAGTTTACACAGAAAATATCTAGTCGACTCACCCTGTGTCCTTATGGTAAAGACAACGAAGATCTCAATCACGTTTTTTGGTCTTGCGAGAGATTTAATCATCAACGCAAGTCATTATTATTTAAACTCCTTACACAATCTTACAATTTCTTTTTGATCCCAAATCTGTTTTTATTAAGAATTCTCTGCAAATTTTTTAAAGACGTAAATATGTCTATTTAATCTATTATTTCATTCTATTTTTTTCAACCTATTTGAATCTGTATTTTGTTATCTCTGTATTTCTCAACGTTGGTGTTTACAGATTCATTCTACAAATTCTGACTTATTTTTCTACATCTTTAATAATTGAATTTACCGCCAATTCGTACCCCCAGCGCGCAAGCGTCAAGTTAGCTAATGACAAGTTCACGCATGCGTCTTGGCTTATCGGCGTCTCAGTCAGAGACCCACCGCCATCTAGTAAAGTAAAGTTAATGGCAATGATGGAAAACAGTGTTGAAAAGAAAACTCTCTAAGCCACCGTGTGTATATATATATATATATATACACACGAGAGAGAGAGAGAGAGAGAATAGAATAGAAGAAGCAGAAGACATAACCATAATATATAACAGACCATCAGCAGACCATCCGTACGGGTATTATCAAAATGGCTTTTCATTTATTAAGAATTTATAGTTCATGCATCAAACCTTTACAACAAACATTGCTGTCTAACACGGGCAAGTAGATAAATTTTACCTTGTCATTTCCTAATCCTAATTAAAAAATATTACAATTATAAGTTTGTAACATTTTTCCAGTTGAACATAACCTATTCATTATTTCTTTTTATATTGAGTTTATAATAATTTTTTGTATTAATTGTAAGTATAGTTATTATTATTTTCAGAAATTTTAAATAAAATCAACAATCAAACTGTAAATATTTTGAAGTCACAAATTCCTCTAACATATTTAATTAGGCCTACTTCAATTTTCACAAAATGTAAGTTTACTTTATCAAGTAAAAACATATATACTTATCTATTTAATACATGAATAACATAGACAAAATATTTTAGACTCTGCTGAAAGCTTGTGGAAGTCTGTAGTAAGTGTTAGTAATGCAGGTAGACAGAGAGGTAGAGGAAGGGGAACAAAGGGGCTTCAGAAGAATTTAAACAGAGGCCAAATAATTGGTGTTGGCAAGATAAATATGCTGTGGCCAGGTTTGACTGGTCCAATTATGCGAGGATCTACTGTTGTCAAACAGCAAAGATTACCTGATGATAAGGAAAGAGAAGCTAAACTTATTAAAATGAGAGAAGAATGGGGTGTTAAAAAATCAAGAAAAGTGCACCCACTGGAGAGGGGTTGGACAAGTGCTAGAGTAGCTGGAAGAAACATTGGACCACCAGATCCTGTTAATGATGGTATTTACTTTTTTCAAGTTTTACCATTTATTTCAAATACAAATTTTTATTTAAATTTAAAAATATAAATAGAAATATTTGCTTAATAAGTTATGATAAATATTTTTAATTTATCTTACAGAAACTTTTGAAGGTTTTGAAACCAAAGTTCTTGAACACAAAATTGTTAACCACATGACAGGAAATTTGGGGAGAAAAAAAAGTTATAGTACATTTGTAATCACAGGTAATAAAAATGGGTTATGTGGAATTTCTATAGGCAGAGCACCAGATGGTAGAGGAGCTTTGAGATTGGCAAAAAATAGAGCAGGGTTTAAGTTAATGTACATTAAAAGATTCAAAGAACATACAGGTGATATAAATATATGATCAGTCTGATTTTATATTCCAATATATTCTAAATTATGTGTTTAATTTGCTTAGTATATCATGATTTCTTCTCTCAATTTGGATCTACAAAAGTGTATGTCACAAAAAAAAATGAGGGATTTGGTTTAAGGTGTCATAGAGCAATTAAATGTGCTTGCGAAGTAATTGGAATAAAAGATCTTCATGTTAAAGTTGAGGGAGCTATGAATTATCAGCACATTATTAAAGCCTTTTTGATTGGATTATTGAAACAAGTAAACTAATAGAATATTCTTTAATACAATAGATTATTGTACATAAAATTTGTAATATATCTTTACATATTTTAGAAAACACACAAGGAGTTAGCAGAAGATAAGCAATTATACTTAGTAGAATTCAGAAAAGAAAATCTAAATTATCCTAATGTAGTGGCTACTCCATCAGTTGTAAGAAAACCTGAAGAAGTTAAATCAACTGAAATTTTGGATTTCAAACAATACGTTCTGGGAGGTAAAGTTATTCTGCAAAAGAAGAAGTTTCCTCCATTTTATGTCAACAGTATTGGATATAAAATCAGACAAACTAAGATGGAGTATTTAAGAAATAAAGATAATGTTAGAATAAGAATGTTAGCTGAGCATGGAGAGTATCGAAGTTTTTTAACAGATAAATATCCTGAAGCAAAGCCTAAATTTTGGAGCAAGAAGAGACGAGAACAAGAAAAAAGCGAAAACAATTAATGTTATATTCTGTAAATATAAAATAAAAAATAAATGTTTTCATTACTTTCAAATAAGTGTTAACATTACAATCTCTTTTGTTTATAAATATTGTTCTACACAATTTCAAAAGGAATTATAAAATTATAAATCGTAAGGTGAGAATGGGAACGTAGGAGTTACTTAAGCCGCGCTTATCAAAATTCGATTTTGTAAATAGATTACATATAAAAAAGAAAACTACGAGAAAAATCTCATATGCATGAATAAAATTCAAATTGTAAGAATTAGTGAATGAAGGTTACAGGTGAAGGTAGCAGGAAAAGGGGAGGAAGAGAATGAAAGGGTTAAAACCTAAAACCGCCACTTATTTCTCCTATTTTCTCGCATACACGTGCGCAATCGTTGGAGTCAAGTGTATGCGTTCGTATGTATGTGGAAGTGCAGACGTGTATGTGCGGGGTCCAGCTGGTTGATCGTCAGCTAGTTGGAATTATTGGCAGCGCGGCATTGCTGCCCAGAGACAAAGAAAGTAAAATAGACATAAAAATAAAGAGTTGCGCGCTAGTGATAAATTCCTCGCAGATGATGTTTGCGTGTGTGCACCTCGAGGAATATAGTCGACTCTCATCGATGTGACGTTCTCCGCTCTTAAAAATGGCGTGCACTACGAACTACGCCATGTTCCTCATGCTGTGATATAGGTATAGATATCCGTAAGAGAGCAACCAGAGAAGAGGTGAGGCGATCGAGAGAGAGAGAGAGAGAGAGAGAGAGAGAGAGAGAGAGAGAGAGAGAGAGAGACACACACACACACGTATACACACACACGGAGAGAGCCGCGCGAGTTAAGGCATATGAGAGAGCGCGGAGAGAGAGAGAGAGATAAGTAAGGGTGAGAGAACGCGTTGAACTTTTTGGGATTCCACAACTCGATTTGAGACTTGGACAGCAGATATCACAATCTTCGAATCGCCAGACGACGAGGCAGCAGCGCTGGCGACGACGAGCCGCCTAAGATGGCCGATGACGATCCCTGGCTGCTCAAGGAAGACGGCTTCCTGAACGTCGGCGTCGAGGTCAGCCAGATCGTCTATCACCCCAACCTCAATGTCCTCCTCGTCACCACTGCCAACCCAGCCCAAATCTACGTCCTCGATGTCAACTGCGGCGAGATTCTCCAGAGATGTACCCTCTCCGGTGAGTTTTGTTTTCTGTCTTTGTCTTCCCAGTTGTCTCGGTCATGGTTACGTTTCTTGTTTCTATCTACTATTTATTACGCTTTATCCTGACAAACAATTGTCTTGAGAGTTTGTTGTCATTATTGTCTCTTTTAATTTCTCTTGTGATGGCCTCGCGCACTTCTCCTCGCGCGTATACACTTGTTTTTTGACGACTTAATGTTTTCATTTCGCCACATTTAAATGTCGATGACCATTGCTTTATCATAGTTTCGTTTCTAGTCGTACGCTGTGGGCTTATCATATTAAAGTTTGGCAGTTGTCGTTGCCGTTTTTTAGGCACAACTGCTTCGCATAACTGATACACGATGTTCGTTTGTTTTTACTTTGATATCAGTTCCAGATTGTGTATTCATTGTCTACTTTCATTTCCATTACCGACAATCATTTTAAATGCTGTAGTGAGTCGATGTAAACGTTTTTAAATGACGTCTATTGCAGTTCTTTGTTTCTATGACACCTTTAGATAAATTTACAGTTACATTAGTAGGCCTTTACTGTGATGATAAGCAAATCGAGTGTTAACGTTTGATTAAATTGCTCTATAATTGCTATTAATATTAATATTATTTTGACTTTTTGTTATATAACAAAGTTTTATGAAAACTAATTTATTTTAATCAACGATGTCATAGTAGGTGATATAAACTGCTAACTAATGTTTAAAAAATTATAATAGCTTACAATTAGTAAAATTTTATGATTCATGCATTAAATTAGTACAAATTACCTAGTGATGCATTCTGTAGGAAAAGTATAATTTTAACTCATTGACACCATTTTCCATTAAAATGTTAAAACTTTATTATATTAAAATGATGTAATAGTTAGATATTTCAAATAAAAGTTAATCTACTTGAGTGATTAATATTTAGATTAATTATTTGTAATAAAGTTTTCAGTAGATAGATTAGATAAATCATTTTTAATGAATTTTTTTCATTTGCAGGTAAAGCAGATGGAAAATTACAAGGTGTTTATTTAGGTGAAGGGGTAGACAAAATCTTGTATACAGATGGCAGGGGCCTTGGGATCAGAAGTGATTACAATGGTGTCCTTTTGTTGGATTCTATTTTACAATTGCCAGTATACAGGAGTGAAGATATAGTTAAATTAGAGATGCTGCTCACAGAAGCAATACTGTTGCACCACTGCTTGCGATCAGTCGAGCTTCCGGGAGTAGATCATGTTCAAGAAGTGCTGCAGGAATTGTCCACCAATATTGCTTTAGCCAAAACAAATAGAAAGAAAGGAATTAAAGCTCAAAAGGTATGAATATAATTAAATCTAGTCTCATGTAAGGAATTTTTGTTAGTGATTTCTTGGTTATGTTCTCTACTTTTCATTGTATTCAGTATATTAATTAATTTTTTATTTCTAAATTTCTCTGTAATTTTATTATTAAAAATAATTTGTATTTTAAAACTGTATTTATTTAATACTACTATCTTTGCTTCCAGTATAATACAGTATGTCTAGAATTGTCGCATGGAGCTCTAAAATTAGTATGTTCAAATTTGGTAATGGATTTGAAGAAGCAAAATAAACATATTCCTGCATTACCTATAGCATCTGCCATTAGTGAAAGACTTAATGGCCTACTCCCCGGCCTTGTTATGGAAAGCGAGAGTACTGGAAAAGTTCTTATGTATAGTGAAGCAGCTCGTCGTGATACTTTTTCAAAGTGGCCCCACATGAGTTACAAGTGAATTTTCCTATTTAATTTTAATTTTGATAAAATTGTCTAATCTGAATTGTATGAACTTTCTTAAAATGTTTTAGAAGTTATTACTTGTTCAATCTATTTTCAAACTTGCGATGTTAATTGAATAACTCTTAACTTAGTTAATTAGCTACAACTTTACACCTTGAGTTTATTATTTATTCAAAATTATAGATTAAAAATCTGAATTTACTTTGGATATGATTTATATTTTCAAATACATTGTTTACATATACAAAAATTTTTAATTTTAAATTAAAAAAAACAATCAATTGACCAGCCTAATGAAATTTTATTATTTATGTCATTGATCAAAGTAAATAACGATACATTATTCTAATAGTACGAAGCCATAAATCTAAATTTATTATATGTTTAATTTACAAAAATTTGATTTGAATTTTTTTAAAATTTAATTTGAAGGTGGGCGCTGCCAGACCAAATGGCACAGGCAGGATTTTATCATCAGCCAAACACGACGGGCGAGGACAGAGCGATGTGTTTTACGTGCAACGTGTGTCTCGTTTGCTGGGAACCCACGGATGAGCCTTGGTCAGAGCACGAACGTCACTCGCCAGCTTGTCCTTTTGTCAAAGGCGAATACACGCAAAATGTGCCACTCTATGTAACTTTAGCTACAGCACCCGCGCAATCTGTTGGTGAATCTGTTAATGTGATCGGTACGACGAACGTTGGTGGACTCGTTGCTACGGCTTCACAAGGCGGTTTCATCAATGTTTGGAATGTGCAAAGCCAGTCTAAAGTACGATATTTATGTTATTGATATGTTAATTTTGAATTATTTTTATATTATCAAAAAATTTTGAAAGCTTTTGTAATGAATGATGTTAAAAAAGAGTTGAATTTTGATGACAGAGAGAAGTATCCTTTTATTTGAGTCCAAGTGACGTAGAGCCAAACAACAAGGATTCGTTTGAATTCTACGCTTCGAAGACATCACCGTCACTGACAAGTGGATATTTACCGAGCCTCGTTACGGAAACGGACGCCTTGACGGACGCCTACAAGCCGTCACCAAGCTCTAGCAACAATAGCAATAGAAAGCTCCAAGTGACAGCATTGGCGCTAGTCGATGGGCCAAAATCTCAGCGTGAAGCTCGAGGCATGTCACACGTTGGGAACCAGGAGGTTAACTCAAATGCTTTAATTAGGCCGTCCCTCGTGTGCGGTGTGTCTGTCAGCTCGAGTTTCGGCAGCGCCGGTTCGAGCGCCAGTTCATCTTCTGCTCAGATGCGATCTCTCGAAAACGTCTGGGCAACGACCACAGACTTAGCCTCCTCGTCATCATTAGTTCGCGCAATGAACAGCGTCAACAGTGCGGCTAGTAGTAGCAGCAGCAATAGTTTGGATATCATGAAGGTGGCTACAAATGACGCATATAGTCCGACAAGGTCGCACTACCTCGTGCTCTGTGACTTTCATCACAAGGCCGCCGAGGCACAGCCGACCAAGAAGGACAGCTCCAAAGATGGCACCAAAAGCAAAAAACAGCTCTCGGGTACCGGTACCAGTGCTAGCTCCAACGGCATCAGACAGGAGAGCCTCTATCAGGAAATCCTACTTAGCAAGTTCCTTCTTGAGGAAATCAATGAGGATGTCGATGCGGAGATGGTTGGAAGTGGTGGTGGTGGTGGCCCTCACTTCGAGAGTATCTATTCACCACATGGAGTCCTTGCTCCGACGGCGAACGGTATTTTCTATGGCATAAATAGCTCCTTACCGACGCTGCCAACGTCGAGCTCGTTTGACACCAACTCCAATCCTATAAACTCGTACGTGCCAGAACAATTCGCCTCGACATCTAAAATGACCCAACTAAGGAAGACTCTCGACACGATCAAAACTAGTAAAGTTGCCGAGCCCGTCGTTATACAAACTATACGCATCGAGGCCAAAAATTCACTTAGAATCAATAACATTCTGCCCACGAAGGACGGCAAGCATTTATTCGTTACACTTAGTCCAGTGGTTGCAGATGTGTCAGCAATCGAGTCCTTTTCCAATACTAACCAGATGGATGTCGACGACGAAAGTGAGTTTCAACTTTTTTCCTAGTTAGGTAGTTTAATAAAGTCTTTCTTTAGGGTATTAATCCATTAATTATTCAATTTTAGGCGCTCCAAAGAGCTACGTGTACTGGGACCATAACGATGTGCAGTCTAAGACATTAATGAACGGCGAGATACAAAGCGAGTCAGAGATAAGTGCGTGCCCTATTCTACTTGTGTATGCTTTGGACTTTACGGACAAGGTGGTGAGACTGAGGCCAGAGCCGATACTCAAGCGGGAGCTATTAGCGTGGCAGGCGCCGGAAGAGTGCGTGCTGTTGCCAACCTTTGAGAGAGGTCGACTCTTCAATGGCAATATGCATGTCGAGGCTCAGGACACCCAAGAATTCCGCGGACAAGTGGCCTTAGTTTGTAGGGATGGAGTGGTGAGGCTGATAGACCTAAGCAACCTCAAGACTGTTACTGAGGCTAAGCTTATTGGACACAAATTCATTTCAGCTGCTTACTGTACAGGTAAACCACTGGATTCGATAATGGCATTGTTTTGCTTATTGAAAGAGGCGTTGATACCTATTTTTGGCAATGTTCATTTAGGTTTGGATAGGTTGTGTGCGTGTACAAGTGATGGGGCTCTTCATTTTTTCAAGCTAACATCTGAAGATGATACTGCTGAAGAAAAGGACGTAGACGATCTACAAATGATAACCGATCCCAGCGTATGTTACGAGAGTGAATTAGCGACTCCTAGTACATCAACTTCATCTCCCGTCAACCAGTAAGTGTTATAAAATCATTTTGAAAATGTATTGTACAATTAAGTACACGTTACCTCTATACTCAGTCTTGATACAGTATTTATTCCTACTGTTAATATCACTTTTCAGAGAACAAATTTTGGCACATAGACAAAATTTAACATACCAAGATTTACGATCGCTATACGATTTAACTAGATTTGATCGACACTCACCAGCATATAAAGCTACGGTACCACCTTGTTGGAGTGAAATGATGCAAGCTCAACGCCAACGTCGTTATCCGCAACATCTGCATCAGTCAGAAGATCAGCACCATACACGTACTTGGCGCTTGCAAAATGATACGTAAGTAAATTACTTAAAAGTATTGAATGTTTCGAAAAAAAATCCTGTTCACAGCCAGTACTATAATTTGCGTAGGGGTACCTGGGACGAGCACATTTTTGAGCTTACATTACCGAGAAGTGCTGCAGGCAACGTTGGCCATGTTGATGTTAGATTCAGTTTGCATTTCCCATGTCTTGAGCTTCCAATGATACAAGTTACTCTTCTGAAACAAATTATGACTGGAATCGGGAACAAACCCTATTTAATTGCTGTGGATGAAAAAATAGACTTCAGAATTGGACGCGAACAAAAAGCTGATAATCCTGTCATTACTGAAGAGTACCAGAGACATCATAATACAGAAATTCTTTGTGGTCCTATAAATTTGCAGCGCTGCATGGATTTATCTGATCATTCTGGCTGTGTAACTTTGACTAGCCCTAAGTTATTTCGCACGAAAGCTAAGACACTTTTGGTTCATATAAAGGCTTTGATTGATCCTACAAAAGAAGGGGTAAAATTTTAATCTACCTTGATTAAATGTATATTCTATTAAATATAATAACTGTTTGTTCATAGGCGTTATCAAAATCAAGATATACTTTATTAGAATCCAAACCGCCAACATCCAAGAAATTAAGGATTGACGAAACTGGTCCACTTCCTCCTGGTGCTACAGTAGAAAGATTTGCTACAAATGCAACTAAAAAATTAGATAGTTATAATGGTATATATTTTCTTTTATTCAGAAGATCTATTTTATTAGTAAATATAACAACGTATTTTTTATGTTGCACAGGTTGTGATTGGATTCATGAAGTATCAATTACAGTGAGATCAGTTCATCCTACAAATATTTCAAATGAGAAATTACAGAGATGTGCGATGTTGGAGTCCAAAGCTTTTCTTGAGAATTTATTAAGCGTAGCTTGTTTAGAAACGTCTAATAAGTAAGTTCAGAATTTCATTAAAAATCGCTTTTTGTTGTGATGTAGTTTTATCGTTAATCTTATCACAGGTCACCAGTTATTCAGTCACTAGCTTTGGATATTTTAATATGGGTTGCTGCAATAAGATTAACAAGATTACGTACTGGTTTAAACAGTACGAAATCAAAAGCAATACAGTTGGAAACTGTTCATTGTGTACAAGAAAGACTACCTAGTCTGTTACGTACTTGTTTGCTCCACGCTGGACGAAGTATAGCGCACAAATGTGTTAAACTCATCGTACTTTGTATAGAGTGCGTTATTCTCGGTTATTTCATAAAGATTTGTTATTTGTTTGTTTTTAAATAATAATCGTATTTCATGCAATGGTTTTAGGGGTCTTCACAATTTAGAGGATCCATCGCCTCATGCTTTTGAAGAAGCTGTTTTATCAGTTTTAGTTTCTATATTACCATACATAGTTAGTGTTCAATGGGCTGGTTCGTTAAGATGGCTTGCTATACTTGTAACAAGATTGTTACCTCTAGATAGAAACCACAATGTGGCTCAACAATGTATTAAGCTTATTCAAGAAATCTCCACTGAAATGTCAAAACGTGTTAATCCTTATCATTTATTACTTGCAACGAGGTAAGTTCATAGTCTTATAATGTGGTATTTGTTTTGAATTTACAATTTTTTTAATGCTGTAATATTTTTTTTAATTCAACGTTTTTAGGTTTGGACTCTATAACTCACCATTTGAAACTGAATTATTTGATATGGATCCACCTATCTCGGCCAAATCCACTTCAGTACCTGTAACTAATACTTATTCTATTGTAACGAATGAACAACCCAGCACGTCTGTAGCTGCTACAAATATGTCGTACACTCAAGATGCCATTGACTTGCGTGATCTTCTGTCATTGCCTTCACATTCAACTGGTGATCTTATTGTGCCAAGTAAATTAAAAGCGCTTTGTGCAAACCACAGTATGAAAGGACTTCTTGAGGTATAAAAAGTAATTTTTTAATTAAAAATTATTGTAAAAGTATTAAAATGTATAAACTTTGTGTATTTTCTTTTTCAAGGTTGAACCATTGCATTTTACTTGTCACGCTGCTTCTGATGGCACGAAGATGGAAAAAATTGATCCTAACGTCAATTCTGTATCTGCCGCTGTGTTGTATGAACCAGCAGTGCCTACAACAAATGCAACGTTTGATGCCAAAATCATACATCACGCATACGTAAGTAATCTGATGAATATTAAATATTGTTTCTGTTAAAGTGAAGAAATCTTGAAAATAAGATATTCTAATTTTTGGAGAAATATAAATTTAGCAACAACAATAATAGTACGTGAATTGAAATAAAGTGAAAAATTCGTTAAAAATAGATTATAAATGTAAATAAAGTTGATATAAACGTTTAGAGCAAATCTTTATATTATTGTAGAACTTTGAGGCTGGATCCCTAGGACCAGATCTACAAGCAAAACTAACATGCAAATTAACCGATCTGCTAAGCCAGTGCACAAAAAATGCGCAAAAAGCAAACTACCAATCACTGACAAAAAAAAGCCAAGACTTTTACACTCCTGATGATCAATCGGATAGTGATGAGGGTGGTAACATGCAATGTAACACTACACATATTTGGAGCGTGTATAGTGATAAGCCTCCGTCATTGACTACAGTCCCGAAAGAAAAATCTTCGTCCTCATCCATAACTAATGTCGGAACTTCTTCTTCGTCTAGCAAAATGGAGGATATTGGACCAAAAAAGGTGCATTTTGTTGATCATTTTTTGTTCCAATATTTTATAAATTACATTCATTTAAGTAGTTTTTTTTATGTAACTATGCTTGAATTATCATGTCTTATTAGCTCACTTTTAAAACCACTCATGAACATTACACTCACATAAAAAATATGTTGTCATATTTTTTAATTCAATTCTGCTAATAAAATGTAGATCTAGAATATCTTAATTTAAATAATTATGATCCTATAATTGTTATTACCTTACAACTCATTTACCAAATAGTTATACTTTTTCTCTAAATAATGTCTTTTTAGAAATGAATTCTTGATAAAAATTATTTTAAATTGGTGATTACTCGAATTCTTTGGAATTAAAAAAAGATATTACTTTTTAGAAAGATGACGTTGCTTTTCCATGGGGAAGGTTACTTTGTTGGCCTCCACAGCAGGCCCTAGTTGTAGAGAGAATGCACTCGGGAGCAAGGAGATTTGTTATTTTAGACTTTGGAGCGCCTGTGCTTCTCACCGATTTGATGATACCTGCTTGCAGCGATTTAGTTTCTCTATCAATTGACATTTGGACAAAAAGTGAGGAAAGTGATGGCATACGATTAGTAGTCGCTGGAGACATTGGTAATAAGCCATTGGTTGTTAATGATTTGCAGCCACCTCCAGTTTGTAGATACTTAAAGGTTAATAATTGCTTATAAAAACAGTTGTTCTGTCATAATATTTCTAAATAATATAACTTAAAAATTGATCAATTTAGATTACGACTATTGGTCGATATGGTATGTCTACAACTCGTTGCAAAATCCCTCTGGGAACTTTTTATGGGCACATGGTTGTATTACCAGGGGAAGATTATTCTGAACTTTCATCGTTTGAAACAAACACAATCGATTCAGGGCTTCAAGCAACAATTGAATCGCATTGTAACATATTGTCTGCTCTTGCTGAGGATGTACAGTGTAGATTTACCTTGGCTACAGAGCGTTTGAAAAGTTATCTTGATCCATTATTATGTACGGAAACTCCCAACGTTATACATATGCAACATTATTTGAATAATAGCAAAAATTCAACTGACAGTAAGGAACAACCTTCGGTGAAAATTTTGTCAACATATCAAGTAAGGTTTATTATGATTCAATTATTTCAAAAGCTTGTGGATGTAAATTTTAACTTTATAATATTTTCATAGGAATGTATTATGTATCAACATCAATTGAATATTATTCGTGGAGTATGGCAAAGGTTAGAGTCGTGGAGAAATTCGGAAAGTAATCCACCAACAACATTAGTAAATGCATCTAGCGATAAATTGCGTATTCTTGGAGAAACTCTCCTGGATATACTCCTTTATACTATATACGAAATCGGTCCTGTTCCTACTGTAAGAGTTTTTATTGTCCAAGAATAAACATGTTGTATTATCTATTGTTACAAAAATGAAAATGTTTAATTGTTATTTGAAGGTACCCGTAACATTGTACGATTCTTTTACACCAGTAGTGTGTGAAAAATTATTCAACTCAATTTGTGTGATGACACCAGCTCCACACATGCAACTTTATACAGTTGCTCTATTAGCCAAAATGGCTGGACATCAACCATGGTGGGGAAACTTCCTTGCAAATGCATTGATAAATTTGTATTCTGCATCTTCAACGCATATTTTTCCACAAGACAGGTGAGTCCCTGTGCTATAAAATGTAATTAGATTAATTAATATTCATCCTCCACTGTGAAATCATTTGTAGGGTATTCATTTTGTTAACATTCCTTGGTCGTAAATCATTAATTGCTTCGGCTAATAAGTCTTCGGTAATTGATGCTATGGTACGTACGCTTGGAGGGTTATTAGCACCTTTATGTATGGGCCAAAATGAAAACTCAAACAGATTGGATACAACCCTCATTGGTTGGGTACTTCTTTTCCTATCTGTATGCTTAGACACAACAGCTGTGCATTCAAATTCTTCTGAGGAAAGTCACGATAAGAATAAAGAACAAGGTTTTTTCATATAGTTATAAATAGTTTTGAAGGACGTTTTCGTGTATGTAAAGGTTTTCATTAAACTTTACGCTTGGAAAAAACGCTGCACATATTCTACTCCCTCGTAAGAGAATAATTATAATAAATTAAAGCGAAAAATGTTAAGTATGTTCTTCATAATATCAAGTTTCCTAGAATTTTTGTAAAGATCGATATGTACTTTCGTTTATTGAGAAAAAATTATAACTCCAAAAGTTGAGAAATTCATAACTTCGATGGACAAAACTTTACGTTGTTACGCTGTTTCACTAAATTATTTTTATAATTTTTTCTTATTAATATTAATATCTCAAAATTGATACACAATTCTTAAAATGTTCAGAAAAAAATGTATTACTGAAAAAAATGTCGTTTTCGACGATTTGGAACAGTTTTGTCCATCGAAGTTACACATTTATCAACTCTTGAGGTTTTCATTTTCTTTATTTTCTTGAAATAAGCGAACGTACATATCGATATTTGGAAAAGACTAGACTATACTATAGGAAATATTCTTAAATTCATTTGTTTCAATCTCTTAATAATTATTATCTTACGAGGTAAACGCGTGGAGTACTTTTCCCCCACGTAAAGTTGGATAAGAACTCACATACAAGAGGACGTCATTAATTATAGAAAGTACAATATTATGCTTATGAAAAATGTTTTGTATTCAAAGGGTTTTCGTCTCGCTGGGAATTCATTCAAGGAGAGCTTGCAATGCAGAGAAAGTTTATTAGCTCCAATCGCTCATCAGTATCACGTAGCTATCGTAAAAAGTTACAGAAACGTCTCATGCATCATAAGCAACAACTACAAGATTTAGAGCAGGCAAAAAAATCTTTTCATTCGGCTTCGCAGGTAACATTTGCCTGATGGTTAAAAATTTGGAAACAAGAAAACCTTAAATTTATTTGTTGATACTAACTTTTTTGCCCAGGCTGCTACTTTCTCTACAAAATTGGAGGCTGCGTTAAAGTCCCAAGAACGTTATTACAAGAAAACTCTAAAGCAACATTCTACAAAGTATTCTAAGGACTTGTACAGCCTTAGAAGAAATGAACTGCAACATTTGAACCGAAGATCTCAATCGCAGCCAAGTACAAGGTAGGATTGCAATAAATGTAGTTTATTATACTAAACTATATAAATATTTGTTATAATTCTTCCTTGTTTTTCAGTCAATCGGATTCAATGGACACTGATGTTGACTATACAAATAACTTGTCACATCAGTATGTTCTTCCAGTGGCACGTGGTCTCGTAGCTCTGTTATTAAATAATGTTTCAAACGTTGACATGTTTTTGCTAGCATGCAAGGTGGGATATATTGTTAAGTCAATAAATAAAAATTGCTGTTCCAGTTTCGTTATTAAATAATGTGTATGTTTTCATATGCAGGTTGTTGCCCGATTAGTTGTTTCTACACGTCCTGCTATTAGTTTAGGTGAATTAATGAGCGAAGATCAACTTCTTAGACTAGTTAGATTAGCCACTGGGAATTCTGATACGGCATGGTCATCACACGCTGTCTCTTGTTTATTACAGGATTTACTAGAAGGTATGTGTTTTTTAATTTTATATTATTAATAATTTTAATATTAAAAACTATGTATTCTCTGATAAATATCATAAAATATACTGATTTATTTACAGGTGAAAAATTATATCCTAGAAACTCTCCGCCAAATGAACCCAGTCCATCTGATGATGCCTTTGAACCTTTACCTGCTGAAGAAGCAAAAGTAGCTGATGATGATGTTACAGCAGCAGTAGCTGGACCTAGTAATTCTTCAACTGCTTTCGGAAATGATGAAGGCTTTGCTGATGGAGACGAAGATACTCAAGATAGTATCGTCGTGGCACCAACGAACGCTTCTTCTTCTAAAAATAGTGGATTTAATCTTCCATCTTTATTAGAGTCTGAAGACAGTGAATTTGAAGATTTTCTTGACAATATTCTAGATCGCAGTAAGGCGATTCCTAAAAAAGGTAGTGCTGTTTCTAAATATCCTACCATAACAAGCTCAGGGTAATTACATTTTATTCTATTATTGTGTGTGTGACAAATTGAATAGAACATTAATTTAACACATATGTAATTAAATATTTTGGTTATATACAGCATTTCGCAAGCTATTGACGCAAGGCTAGAATATGGCGTTGAATCCAACGTGGAAATAGCACTTCGAAGACTTTCTGCTCTTGGAACCTACAACTTGCCTCTCGGCATAAACGCAACAATTAACGTCAGTTTCATTACTTTTCTAATAACGCATAAATTGTTACTAAAATAAATTACAATATTCGTATTTTACTTTGTATACAGCCATCAACAGATTCTTCCCGTAATGTACAGAGTTCATCATCAAGACAGAGCAGTTATTCTGATAGAGTTCAAGAAGTTTGGAATACATCGGAAGCTCCTATGTCGAGTTTACTTATGTTAACGAGATGTTTCGATAAGATTTTTACTGAATTGTACATTCAGAATATGGGAATCAACCTTGAGATGGTTTTGCAGCTGTGGTTAACATTGAATCTTGACGCTGCATCGGAATCTACCACCACCCAATTTGATCCGTCACTAACTCCTGTTATTCCTCTTAGTTCTACAGCAATTGCTGGACTAATCTCTGCTTTTTCTTGGTAATATTTAATTAAACAAGTAGTTAATTACATATTTTGAAACAAAGAAAATTAAAAATAATTCTATTACATTGCAGGCATCCTGGACTATCTTTGCGAGCTTGGTGTTACGCTTTACAGTGTTTGACACTTGCGAGCAATCAACCTTTACAAACTGAACAAGTCGAAGCTGCCAGCTGTAGCACTCCATTAGACGGTTTATTGGGAGGTATGGCTGGTTGTATAATAAAAGAACGAAATATGGGTGCTATGCTTCTTCGTCTCCTCTCTGGAAATGGATTGAATATAGATACCGCTAATAAACATTTTGGAATGGTAATGAATTTTTTACGATCTTCGTGTAGTGTAATTAAAAAACGCAATATTTATATGAAAAATAATATTATGTTTATTAGGCTGGACCAACATTATGCCAAGCTTTACAAGATTTTCTCGTGAGACTTGAAATGCGTTGTGACGTTATAACACCTGGCAGTGCCTTGGGAAATTCTTTAAAAGAACTATTGCTGTGGGTTGTTTATCAATTAGTGCAACCTGGCGGAGCCTTGGTTGCACGTCGTGGTCCACTGGATGCCCAATGCAAACTGATTACCTCTTTACTTAATTTAAATTTCATAAACACTGATTTGGGAACTGCTATGAGCATATCTGAATGTGTAGGAGAACTAGTTTCTACCCACGTCAGAGGAAACGGAGGTAATGGGTCATTTTGTAAATATCCTACGATATAATTTAGTAAACTAGTTATAAACCTACAATTTTTATTTATTTTCTAGTTGGAGCACAATGCGGCGGATCAACTGATTCAACCAACCAAACAGGAGGTTTTGTCGGGTTGTACGCGTGTGTACTTGGGGGCGATGCAAGGCAAGGTCGACCTGCTTCCTGGGATGCCTTGGTCGTTGCTCTCATCAAGCTTGTTTGTAGGCTGGTACAAACACCTTTACCGAATGTATGTTAATTTATTATGTTATCTATTGATTTCACTTTGAACTTCGTCAAAGTAACATTCATTTTTGCTTGAAGGTAAGACCTACTAGATCTGACAGTACAACTGATATGGAACTTGGAGAATCTTCACAATCAAGCTCAAATCAAAATGACAATCAAGAGAAGATGAATACCTCGCAAACTGATGAAAGCAAAGTTGCGGAACAACAAACCTCAACTCGAATATATCAGTCGTCCAAGCCGAGGGTACCATGTGTTGCTGATACTGGTATAATTAATAATTAAATATACCCCTTTCATGTTTTATATTTGAGGATAAAAATAATGTTGTTTTTTTCCTAACAGTTTTACAGCACGAACCCACAATGATAAGATTATTGGGTGCACTCGGTCACAGTTCAGGATCATCTTTAGCTATGCTTATAGGCGAAGGTTCTAATAGTAATCCTACAACTGAATTAAGTGCGATTCCTTCGATTCCTGATGCTACTTTTCAATTATTATGTACACTGATGAAGAAAGCTAGCAATCCAACTCTTGTACTCAATCCTGTTCACCAATACCTTGCTTCATGTAAGTGCAACCTATTATTTAATTTTTGCTATAAATACTAACAAAAAAATAATTTAAAATTCATTTGTACACACAGCATGCACACAAGCAATATCCGATCGACATGTTGTGATGCAGCTGTCAGAACCTCTGCTTTGGTTCATCTTACGAGTTCTCGACAACGAAACATCCTTATCCGTTTTCACGTCAATGGGTGGTGTGAAAGTATTGTGTGAAAATCTCGTGAAGTCCAGTAAAAGTTATAATTACAATAGCTCAAACTCTCCTGGAGTGATCGCATTGGTTATGCAGCACTTGTCGAATGCATCGAGCCTAGCACCAGTCGTCTCTAGCAGTAGCAGTAGCAAAAAATCGGTAAGTTCTCTTGAGGAAGGCTTGCTGAACTTTGCACCACTCGGCACCGTGTCTTGGATCCACCCAACCGCGCAGCCTGCAGATGTGCTTATTCAAAGTGCCACACCTCACAGAAGAGCTAGAACAGCCGCCTGGTCTTATCATTTTTATCCAGATGAGGCGTGGGTTGATTTAATAATTACATTACCTTGTGCAATATTACTGAAAACTGTAGAACTGCAACCACATTTAACATCTTTATCAAGTGAGTAGTTTTCTATGACTTTGTATCTTACGTCTAATATTTCGACAGAATTTTTTATTCATTATTACCACTTGACGATTTAGCTTGCCCATCGGCTGTGTCATTAGAAGTATCACGCGAAGGAAACACTGCCTTGACTCCCGTCTGCCCGCCTATGCCGACAGCTGGTCTCACATTTATTCGTTTAACTTTATCACAACCCGAAGTTGCGACTGCCGTTCTTGTAAGACTGTACAAACCTCGAGATTCCGCAAATATAAGTTTGAGTCAAATTCGATTGCTCGGCACTACTGCCTTTGGTGATCCTAAATCAAGTCAAGATATTATCGACGAAGAACAATTAACTAAAACAAGGTAATCGTACGAATTGCAACAATTTCAAATTGAATGTTAATCTAATTATAGAGAATAATTTTTATATATAATATTATAGTTTGGGATGGTTACGTTTGGTACATCAATGTCTGGCAATCAGTACAGCAAATGTAAATTTAAACATCGAAGTATTAAATTCAGCAGCATCGGTCGAAGGTTTAGTAGAATCGTGCTGCAATTTATTGCTTCTTCCGGCTCCATCGCTTTTTACACCCAACTTGGAAAGAGTTCTTCTACAGCTTGGCTTACATTCTTGCGAACTTGGACTCCGCCTTATCAATCTTTTACTGAATAATAAAACTATGCCGCTTTTACAAGACTCCGCATTGAGCCAAGAAACTACGACAGTCCAGATGGTTGTCGAGTTGTTAGAACAACTTTGTACCGCGCAAGATCTGAACACTCGAGCTCGCATGTCTGCTGTTTTAAATTGGTTGTATAGAGTCGCTAAATCTTCCGTTGCTAGTAATATTGACAATAATTTACTGGGTGCCATAAGATCTGCAACACCACCAGCTGTTTACATCCATTGTATATCTACCATAATTTGGAACGCAGCTAAAATACAAAATCTCAATTACGACTTAAAAGAACTTCTGACGGAAGATTTGTTTGAGTAATTACTATTATATTTGCTTGTATTGATATGTCGATTTTTAGGAAATGACTAAAGTGAAATAATTTTCAAAATCATTCTTTTTAGTGCATTATACCAGTGGACTTTGACACTGAAAACTCACTCGGCTTTGAAGCAGGCAATTGATTCAGTGGTGTGCGCATTCTGCTTCGTCCAACCGACCTTCTTCCGATCATTGTTTCAAAAGATACAAATAGACATGGCGACTATGCCTGGAGATCAGTCAAGCGCTTCAATATCAGACGATAGAAAAGAAAGCGAAGGTCAAACCGACGATGTCAAAAGCACAACCGATTGGTACACGCATCTCACTCAATCGAAATTTAAGCGTCTGCCGCTGACGGAGGGTCAGCTTTTAACAATAGCTTCAGCATCACGTTCACCACCTGGAATTTATCATCTTATTGAGTCGGGCTTACCAACACTGCTTACCGCTAGCATTACTAAATTTGCTTTATCAGAGCAATCAAACAAGCAAACTCGAACATACATAAATTTGGTAAGTTACATTCGTTAACAAGTTTTGGCCTGAAAATTAGTATTGATAGTATTATGCACGCACGCGTATGTATTAACCGATATAAAAAAATATTTGATAAATTAGTTAATATTTCTCTGGTTTTTCAGCCTGTTGACGAAATGGGTCCAAGTACAAGCGCAGGCAGCAGTAGTGGTTTAACAGATAGCGTTAAGGCCGGCGAAGATATCGTTGAAAGGGATTCACTGGAAGGATTAAACATGACAGATCCTGAGAGTATATCAATAGTTTTGGAATTCCTATCCTTAATTTGTTCTGAAGGCGAAATGAGGGATTGGTTAGGCACTGAAGGCAATGGTTTCTGGTTGCCTCTTCTCACTTTACTCGGTAATAGACCAATTGATAATCCTTCTTCGTCATCTTTAAGGTGAGATATTAATTTGATGCAGTTTTGAACATTTTCTTCGGGAAAGTATATTTAACTATAATTATTCAGATATTCTTTTCACAGGTGTACGAAAATGAGCTTGTCATTTGCAAAATTGGAAAGTGCCACAATTAAATTCCTTTCAAAATGTTGCTGGTGCCATCCAGCTAACCAAAAGCTCCTAGCTGAATTGCTAACAGATGTTATTCTACAGCAACAAGCGCCTACAGGAAATAGGGGCTTACAAGGGATTTCAGGTTTTACTAGGCGGTTAATTTTACAGCTTTTGTTAGAAGGCGAAAAAATTTTGATCTCACTAACGTCGGAGACACCCATGAAACCATCGACCATTACAAGCAATAATTTGCCCGTAATGCCTCCACATCCAGCTTTTCCTCTAGGCCATTACCATCGTTTACTTTATACTTCGACGCAGTCTACAGTTGGAGACATCTTGCAACAAGTTTCAGGTACTTATTTTTTGTTTACATCTTTATTTCATAAAAGAAGAACGAAATGTTCAACTGTTTTAAGTTGGGGCTTCTTTTGATATAATTAAGATTTGAGATCATGCCTTCAAGTCTTGTCGCTTTTCTTTAAATATTAGTATCTCAGTAATTAGTGATTTGCATGTCTATTATTCAAAGAACTTAACAATGATCCATTATTAGAATTCAGTGCATGCGATAATTATCCCTTAAGCATAAAATTGCTTCTTATTTTGTCGACTATATTAAATATCAACGAGAATAAACAAAGTAGTGTGAAGCTACCATGTAGAATGCGAATTGATCGAATCGTTCCGACGATTAAATCGCTGCTACCTGTGTAAAATACAGGCAGTTGGCTGCAAACGCTGCTCCCGAATAATTATAAAGGAAACGAAGCAGGTCCGTCGCAGAATCGCGAAATTTGGGAGCCCAGCATGAGTACCATTATCGAAGTTGGACTAGGCAACAGCGCAAGTAACCCCGCCAAGGACAAACGGGCTAAGGAGGCATCTAATAGATCATCACAAGCTAGAGGTCCTATTATTAGAAAGACCCGTCTCAATCCAGGTACGGTGACGGCACTAATTTCACACCTGCTTTCTTTTTTGATTATACTATATATGTTTTTTAATTACTTTTTGGTCGCGCAATATTTCATTTTAACGCAATACTGAACTACTAGCTACCATGTATAAATTCATCATTTAAATGATCATGCCCGATATCATTCATTTCTTCAATAAGTTTCTTTGAAAAACTCTGATAAATATGTTCATAATTGTTATATCAAGACGAGACATGCAAATCTAGGATGATTCGTTAAATAACAGAAAACATTTGGACAGATTTTAGTTATAATAAAAATCTAAATTTTACATTGTAACACAGTTACTAATGAAAAATCTATCGTTTTTATAAGCGCAAATATAATGAAACCCCAATTTAACAATTAAATTTATAATTAAACCCCAATTTAATACCTACTTATAATTTATTTTATTTCGAAGAATTATATATTTTTATTTATAATTTCAAGAAAACGTTAAACTAACTATTTGTTTAAATATCTTGTTTTCAACGTGTTATTTATTGTTTTCAGATGGTTCGATACCGACAACGAAATCTTCCAGTACTAACTCTCAAGCGAATGTAAATATGGCTAATCAAAATTTCTTAATTTTGCCATTACGACCTAATACTCCCTTGCCATCGGAGTTGACGGTAGCTCAATTACTTTCGATAGTCGAGGAAAGTGGTGCTTCATTGTCTGAACCTTGTTTATATTTGAATTTACGTCAAAGAAGTAAAGATTCTAAAGGTAAAGTTAAACTAAATCTACAATTATTGTTTGTTTTTTATAATAATAAACATTTTTAAAACAAATTAATATGTTTATAGATGACGGATTGAAATCCAGCAATCGAAATTTGCTTACTCTGTGGACCAGCATTGATAGTACCTTAGAAGTTTTTAGTTCTAGAGGAGGACTCGCTGTTCTCGCCAAGCATTTACCTTTGGTGTACTCCGATTCCAGTAGACCAGTGCCACTAGTTGAAAAGTCGCCTTCGCAAGAACAATCCGATGCTGATTGGGTCAAAATTGAGCATAATGATAATGCTTACGAAGATGTGGGTGAAGGAAATAGTAATGGACCATCAAGAACTATCCCTCAATCACCACAGGTATTTCATGAATTATGAAAATTGTGTAGACTAATTTTTATATTACAACATATAAAATCAAGTATTCAGAAAAAAAGGTGTAATATACAATTTTTACAGGTTCCACCACATTCACTAGCAGCGTTTGGCCTATTTCTTCGTTTGCCTGGCTATTCTGAAGTTCTATTAAAAGATAGGAAACGAGCTCAATGTTTACTTAGGCTAGCTTTGGGAGTGACTGACGATGGTGAAGGTGGCGATATACTTTGCTCGCCTTTAGCTTCTACGTTACCTACCTTGCCGTTTCAAGTATTGAAACAACTCTTAGACGACACACCACCAACTACCGATGACGGTCTCCTACTCCGCCGTACTTCGATCGATGTTGGTGCTGTGATGCTTCTGTTGAATTGCCTGGCTATCTTTACTCATCAAACTGGATATAACGAAGGTAGTATTATTTTCTAATAACAATAACAGTCAGACAATGTATATCTGACTGAAATCATGGAGTTAAATAAAATTTTGCATAAAAGAATCGAACATTTTTCAAATAACAGATGGTTTGACACATACTCACTTATTGAATTAACAGGTTCTGATGGACGAACTGGACAACTGGGCGGTCGAAGTGACGACAAGTCTCACCTGTATTGGGCAAAAGGCACTGGCTTTGGCACAGGCTCGACTCAACAATCGTGGAACGTTGAACAAGCTCTCATGCGTCAACGTTCAGAAGAAGAACACGTAACGGTGTTGTTGCAAGTACTGGCAAGTTATATAGGGGCGGGTGAACAGCCTCAGAAAGAGTTGCCTCCAGCCTTCTACGATCTCCTTGCTCACTCGTGTTTGCTGCCAGCGCTTTCTTCCTACCTTCGCAATGACTCAGTTCTGGACATGGCTCGTCATATACCGCTCTATCGGGCCGTGCTTCAACTGCTGCGTGCAATGGCCAATACTAACCAACTTACGCCATTGTTACTGCCTGGAAATGGCAAATCGGGAGACCCTTCCATCGTTGCTCTACTGTCAAACATGAGAGTTTGCGTAGACATCTATATGCACAAAATTAATAAAACAAAAAATACCAAGTCCAAGGCTTCGGCTACAGTTACTTCAGCCGCCTCGACTTCTACAGCCAAGTATCCAGAGGAAACTGAACAAGATGAGGGTCTGGCCACCTTGATTCCAGATATTCAAGAGAGCGCAGCAATTGTGCAAAATAGTACCGCCAAGCTCATCGAGGCTAATGAAGATGTAGCTGGCCCGAGTCCTGCTGGTCCGGAAATTCCTCTAAGATCCGTCGAACAACGATATTTTGAAGTTATGAAAAATCTTCAATTTGGTTAGTGTATATTTCATTTTCAAATATTTAGTTTTAAAAAAATAGTGTATTTTAATTCAATATATAGGATATCATATACCAAAGTACTTAATATTACTTAGCAGTGATTAGGAACAATATTTGTTTAGCTGAATTCGTCTAGAATATCTAATTATTTTTCAGATACGTATGAAATGATAGTAGAAAATCCAGATGGTGGTTACAAATTTGCCGTCTCATATCACTTCGAGTCGATCATGCGTGCAGCCGGTGAACGAAATCATCCGACACGCGTCAAGAGGCTAGCTCAAGAAGCTGTCACACTGTCGACAGCGCTGCCTCTTTCATACAGCAGTAGTGTTTTCGTTCGTTGTGACACCGACCGTCTCGACGTTATGAAAGTTCTAATAACTGGACCTGCTGAAACGCCTTATGCCAATGGCTGCTTCGAATTCGACGTATATTTCCCGGCGGATTATCCCAACAGTCCGATGATGATCAATCTTGAGACAACAGGCAGACGTTCAGTTCGTTTCAACCCGAATCTGTACAACGATGGTAAAGTCTGCCTTAGCGTACTCAACACCTGGCACGGCAGACCTGAGGAAAAATGGAATGCTCATACTAGTAGTTTCCTTCAGGTAATTCACGTTTGTTTTATTTTCTTATTAAAAAATACGTAATATATTTTCTATAACGAATTGAAAAAATAACTTAACCTATTCATTTCATTTTTGATAGGTATTAGTGTCGATTCAGTCACTGATTTTAGTATCAGAACCTTATTTCAACGAACCAGGCTATGAACGTTCACGTGGCACATCTAGTGGAGCTCAATCGAGTCAAGAGTACAACGCAAATGTTTGTCAAGCTACAGTTAAATGGGCAATGCTTGATCAGATTAAAAATCCATGTCCATGCTTCAAAGATGTAAGCAACGTTTAATTACATTTTTATATAACTACACCACAGTTAGAAATGTTATACTAATCGAATAATCCACTGTAGGTTATTCATACGCATTTCTGGCTCAAAAGACACGAGATTTGTGCACAAATAGAAGGTTGGATAAGAGACATGGAAATGCATGGAGCAGACAGACGCTCTGCCAGGACTATATCATTAAGCGCTCTAGCTTTGAGGGTACATAAAATTTTTAATAATTGCAATATAAAATACAATATTTTAGTCTTTAAATTTTGTGGATATTTGTTATGATCATTATTGTGATAATTAACAATTGTACTTTAGAGACACTATAAACTACTAAGAGAAGAATTGAGCAAATTACCGACACCCGAAGGTCTGGAGGACCTTGCCGAGCCCTTACGTTCACCTAGCACACCACTAGACATAACATCTGGTACGCTCGGTACACCGAGCACACCACTCGCTCCGTCGCTGACTACTACCAATTTCGCCAATCCCAGTTCAGCAAGTAATAGCGCGGAGACAAGTAACCACGTACACCACGATATTGACACCGACGTCGAAATGGAAAAAATGGTATCGAAAGTATGCGAATGAGGTGGAGTACTTTCTCATTGTTGGACATTTTTAAAAAGTCTATTATTAGTGTTATTGTGAATAGAGGAGCTGCTCGACGTTCATGTCCACAAATGAGAGAATGTGTTACAAGATACAACATTGACTTACTGATTCTGAGAGCCGCCCTTTTATTGCGTGCAAGTTGATCAAAGTGAAAAGTAATGTGTGCATTTTGTAAGACAGTTACTCTAATCAATTTTCTTCGTCTTGTGTGAGATAGTTTCAGTGTATAAGGGCATTGTTGAAACAAAGTTACGCGTGAGTATTGTGGTAAATGTAGTGTGAATGCACACAGTGCAATCAAAAAGTCAAGTGAGAAGAATATTGAAGCAAATGAAAAGAGAAAAAAATATGCCGATAAGCTGTTTATACTTGCGTGCGCATACCGAAGATGCTTCACGTGCACTGCGTTCATTCTGCTACCATGTGTAATTGAATAGAGGAAGCAACTGTTACTTTCACTATTTATTATAGGTGTTCTTCGTTTGTTAAGTCGCCCAAAATGATATCGATAAACAATACGATTTCAACTTCTCAAATGCACCGTCTGCATCGTAAATACTTATATGAATGTCTTTATGACTATTCCAATAAATTTTAAGTTGATGACAATGCAGACGGTCGTGTATAATTAAAACATTCACATCGATTGCCCTCTTTTATTGAGTTCACCTTTTGTATTACTATTGATCGGTTAATAAATACAAGCAGAACAATATAACATCTAAAGACAAAAATTAACACTGTTCAAAAAAGATCATATCTTTTGGAGAACAAGCGTGAGTAAAATAAAACTCGATATACTTTTAATTGGCTTTTTTAAGCAAAAATAAAAAAATAACGAAAGATATTTACATACATTTTAATATTGGATGCGTGTGTTTATCTAACAGCCCTCGGCAATTATCCGAGGTTTCTGTTATGAGAACAAGTTTTTTTCACTTTTTATTTTCTATCTGCGTATCTAAATGCGTAAATTATTTACTTTGTTATTTATCCTTCTTCTTATTGAACAAAAATGTTGACTTTGATACTTAAAGTAAAATTGAAAAAGAGAGTGTTTGATGTAGATAGCGTTATGTTTATATGGAAAGCGATAATGTGATCAAAACGATCGCGGTGGCAAACCCTACTGATAAATCAGTTAATGTAAATATTCTCCAATAAGTACCCATGCACACACGTATATATGTTTATAATTCTAAAAGAAAAGAAGTATCGCAAGAATGCTCACTGGAGTGCATGTCTTCAAAACTATAAAAAAAGTACCTACATAGAAAACGACGAATAACTTATGCATAGAGCCCCAATCTAAATGCGACGAATGGTATGAGAGTCGCTTTTCTGATGACATGATGATTGTAAAGTAATGTATGGAACGGAAAAAACATGTTGATAGTTATTTATAATAAACAATTATTACCACTCGCATATATGTTATATTTGTTTACCCTTTCACTCACATACATGTTATAAAAATAAACTGTACTTAATTCCATTAGGGTTTTTCAACTATGCAAAGTTTCATCAGCAAGAAGCCTAATAAAATTCAAATACTATCTAAAATTTCCTATTATTCTGTTTGAAAGAATTTATATAAATAATCTTATTCCAAATTTATGTAGTCGATTTTGAAGATAAACTTGATTCATATGAAATAGTAAATTACAATCCAAGGCTATGAACGTATTGCCAAGTCCGTAACGCATGTAAATTGACACCAGATGTAAAGTTCGAAGTTATTATCGCGACCATGGAGTCGTAAACTATAATTTTATAATTTACCTCATTTTCGCCCATGTATGCCTTGGAAACCACGACAACTGCAAAATTTAGTTCGTCGATGAGCTTGGGCAAAAATTTATTATGTGTAAATCATACTGAATAACTAAAGGTTTTTTAATCATAGTCAAATTACTCATCCGTTAAATTTTTTTCATAACTTAACATACAATATTCATAATAAAATGTGTAATATTCATACACACACACAAGTTAAGCGAGTAATTGAGATGCGCTGATGCAGCATAAGAGAAGGAGAAATACACTCGATGAAAACTTCGTTTGCTCCGTTACGCCAAGGGTTATCGCTACTCGTTTACTTTCCGAGCTACTTGACAGAATGAGCAGCTGTTCGGCGCATTCGCACGAGATTACAAAGTGAAAGTGTCTAATGCAATTCAGTCACCCTGAGCACTAGCTTTAGTTCGCGCTAACTAGTGGGTAAACACGTGACAAAATTTTATGCTTCAACTGCTGTACACTCTGCAAGTGCGATTGCGAGCTTTGTACATGTATATATTTTTTGGAAATAAATTTTAGAGTAAGAGCTACCCATGTGAAATGCACATGATAAAGTTGCAGACTAGAATATGTATGAGCTACTTATAGACCATGCTTGTACATTGCTAAACACAAATTTTTGCCATCAAAATAGGAAGTATTTAAAAATGACGACCAGACAAATGTGTACTTTCGTTATAAGAGGCTAAACGCTTCATAGTTGCCTACTGCTCTTTGTTTCTGTGTATAGCTTATATTATAATTAGCAGCAGTCGAATAATGCCAGAAATTTTTTCGGTGTAGAACATGTTGGCAGAACCGTTAAAACATGACCACCCTTAACTAGAAATAAACATTATATAATTGCTGTTCGCGGGTTATTGCAATGTATTTTCAAGGTTGCATTTAGAAACTCTCCCTGACAATAAGAAAATGTCTTACTTAAACCCTATGCAGCTCTCAAAATTCAACTGTAAAATGCGATTCTTTTTTAATGATTTTTTTAGATTAAACAAATTTTAAAAAATTACTAGAACGATCAGGATCTATTAATTACGGTCTTAAAAATGGATAAGAACAACCGCTCATCGCAATCACATAACGTTCATCTCCTAGTTAGGGGTTACTTACGTTAGTCACATTTTTACAGTTCTGTCGACATGTGCATTTTATCTCAAAAAAACTTGTGCCATTGGGAGAATTGATTGGTAGCGACCTTGAAAATACATATCAACGATCCGCAGAGAGTAATTCTTCAATTTTCATCCCTTGATAATGGAGACGAAAAGGTTATAGTCACCGTTCTGCTGATATATTTGGCGGTTACAAATTTTCAGTACCGTGAAACCTAAGGACACTTCATATGTACTCTATCTGTGAGAGGGTCAACTCAAGATCCGAGGGCCGGAAACCTTCCATTTTCTGTGTTCTGACATCACCAGATTGACTCCGACACGGATTATAGTTTTACCGCGACGATTGCGGAATATTGTGTACGGTTAAAACCATATAATAAATTATATGCACAAATTATTGTGTCTGGTAACATAGTGGAAGAACGCCGTGACGCGCCATGTTCTTGTGCACAATAGTTTATGTGTACAATAAAACCGTGCACAATTGTCCGCAATCGTGCAATGCGTTCGTTCACGCCGTTGCGAGCTCAGAGTGATGTAAAACGCAATGGTGAGTGGGCTTTGCTATCACATCACCAATTTTGATTAAGCGTACATATTTATTCGCAATCGATATACGTATTTCGTTCTGTGTAAACCGCTACTATGTTACTTGCATATTAGTTACAAATAGTTTTGCTGTATCGTAGTTTCAAATAGCGTCACTTATATTTGAATCCGCCGGTTGTTATCGCCGCTCTAAAAATCTATATTTATCTTATCTTCAAAGTATCGCATTTTATTGATTAATCACAATTAACTTCACGTATCGGATCAATCGAAATCTCGAGAGAAGCTCTAATCGCTTTATTACTCAAACGTGCTCAACGCCGAGTCACGAACGCGGAAGGATTCGGCGGACAACAATATCGCCGCGAGCATCTTATCGACACGTGGGCTGTGACGCATTTTTCCTAAATCCCATGCGCTGCATGCCCGTTTTTGTCAGGGGAGATTTCCACGCATCACCGTCAGCCGTTGATTGTTTGGACTTATCACTAACTGTACTCGCTGTTTTCCCGAGCTAGCTTGGGTACGCATTGTGCAGCCTCTTTTCTTTTTGATATGTCAATCGCGTTTAGTGAATTACTATTCCGCCTCTCCACGAGTTACCTAATATCTTAGTCAATCGTGCTTAATAAATATACGTACCTTTTCAATAGTTTTTCTGTCGAGTCTATCATTTCCAGTGGTCTGTGTGATGAGCTGCAGCGCATACTGAACCCACCCCTCGGGTATTAATACCAGCTTCTGTCTTTTTCACGTAGGCAGAAAGGTTCCTTAAATTAGAGATCTATTAAAGACATGCAGTAACATCTGGAGGTCCTTTTACATCTCATTAAGGATGCTGTCATTTCTTATACTTCTTGATATCACTTCATTCAAGGCAATTATCCTCAGTTTTAGAGCCTGGAAAGTTCTTGTTTTGACGCCTCTTTCTCTGCTACGTTACCAGAGTCTCTATAGAGATAGTTGCTTTTGCGCTTAACTTGCAGCTTTAAAAATATTTTGACTAGCTTCCTCGCCTCCCTCGGGTGTAAACGCCACACGAGACAAGAATCTTGCTTTCCCGAACATGTGCCGTACCGTATTTTTTGATACCACGCGTGGAAAAAGTTTTCAACGTACATTTTCTGCTGAGCGTACGGGAAAGACGCACTTTGCGCACGAAGTGTCGAAATGTACTATTTCTCTCCTCTATACTCTTTCTATTGAAAAAAAAATTGTTGCATCCCGCTCCAAGGGCCTGTTATGCACCATAGCTGGAAAAACGCGCATGGGAGAGTCAGACTCTCCAGGTTTATTTCACGCTTACCCTTATCCCGTATCCTAGAAAGATGTCTTTTAACAACGTGCTCATATTTGGACCAGATGTTTCTTAGTTATTTTAACGAGGATACTCTTTCTTCGCATCCTTCTCTGTTTCTTAGGCGTTAGTGACCAGGTTTTTCCATGCAGTCAGAATGTCAATTATTTAATAAGAGTAGTTAGTTTTATAAATCAATCGTTCTTTTATTGAGCTTAAAAAGTAGATCAAATATGAAACTAGTTTGAAAAGGGTACATTGGAATTATACGTGGGACACTTTTAGATATGCATTTCCGAAATGATATATCTAAATCATACATGCGATATGTAAATAAAATATAAATATTTCTTTACATTTATAGTGTTATAAGATACTAGTGTCATTGTATTATAGTATTATAAGTTAATTAGTACTATATAATCGGTGTCACAGTTATGGATAAAAATTGATTGCAAAGAAACAATAAAAATTGGTATTTCAATTTTGGTAACTGAAATAACTAAATTTGTTTTAGCTCATTCTAAAGTTTTCTATTGGACTATATGACTATAAAAGCTTAAAACTCAACATCAAATGAAAAGTTATTGTTATATTATTGTTATTATTATTATTATTATTACTTCAAAAACTACGTTTATTCATAATAATTCATTATTAATTTTCGGTACATTTCTATATTAAATATACTTCAATAACAAAAGTAATTGAGGCGACATTTGACTTAATTTACGTGTTAGAACATTTTTGATAATTGCTTTTGAAACCGCAAAAGAAGACGAATCGAACGATATATTACATTGTTTGTGTAGTTATATTAGACTAGCATGAATAACATATATATATATATATATACATATTGTCGACGGGCAATTGGAGGAGCTGGAAAATTTGGTCGTCTGAGTATAGAACGGTTGCTGCAATATGGTTTTCACCGTCTGGGTACTTCACCTTACCGTTATAGCACGCATAAATTCAAAATTCAAGCACAGTCCTATCTTGGATATTTTCCTGTATATTTATTCTACTTACTTTATATTTTTTAAATATAATGGCTATAATCTGATAAAAAATTAGATTTATTATTTAGATATGATTTGGAAGTGAAATATTCATTGAAATGTGTGGGGTGTGTGTGTGTGTGTGTGTGTGTGTGTGTGTGTATTTTCAATGCGTCGAACGTGTGATGCCGTCGTCAGATTGTGCACTCAAATATCTTACAATTCAAGATTGCTGTTTTATTGTGTAATTTAAAGTGTAACGTTTTAAACCAAATACGATGTTCAGAAAAAGTTTACCGTGGGTAAGCGAGACACTTAATTTTGAGGCTAACGAGATAAAAACTCAAGATAACAACATGTCATTGGACCAAGTGTTAGTTTCATGCGCTGCTCTTTTCAGGACACTTAACACTTATCTAAAAAAAGCCTTTTTTTCCTTTTTCCGTGTCTCTTCATTACTTTTTTATTACTTTTACCTCCTCATAGCATAATATATTTTCATCTATAGCTCTCTCTCTCTCTCTCTCTCTCTCTCTCTCTCTCTCTCTCTCTCTTCTGTTATTATTTTCTTTTTTTTTGTTTCTTCCGTTTATCAACATAAACGACTGACTTGTTCAACGGCACCTCCACGCTCCGACGTAGATTCGCTATCCATTTTGA